TCGCTCCTCCCAAAAACCTCGTCCGCCTGAGATACAAACACGTCTCTGAAGCTTTTGGAAGCTCCTACCAAACTCCTATGACTAGTTGACGCCAAACTCACTCTCCCGCTCATTGTTTCGACCGGATTTTCATCTCGTCCTAGCATTGTGGCCATTGCCAACGAGTAGTCTTGTTGAATTACGAAGAAGGTTGCGGATATGCGTCCGCCATTTAATGATACTAAGATAGAGAGAAACTGAAGGTGAGAGAAGAGGCGGGGTAAAATTCTTTTGAATAATGAATAAACGTAGATTTGACAATAGAATAACTTTTTGTTTTATGTATATAAGAAAAAAAGTTCGACGGCTGTTTAAATGCAGCAATATAGTTGAGAGGATATGAGAACATTACCATGTTACTTGATATGTTTCTAATATTTAGATAGAAGAAAGTAAAAAATATAGCATCCAAAACAAAAGTTTTGTGGTATTTTATTGACAACGTATAAATAAAAGATTCATTTTTTTTGTATTTTGCTTAAGGTTGTTAAAATACTATATGTTTGCCTAAGGTTGTTAAAATACTATAGACTGCCTGAGAGATTAATCAGATTTATAAACCTTAAATAGAAAAAAAAAAAAAAAATGTTTACGAGATGTTTTTAACTTGATCAAAAAGTTGCGATTACACTTAACCATCGATTTAGGGCTTGATTGGTTCTCCCGCTAGCACCCTCCTAGCGGTTGCTAGCGGTCGGTTGCGGTTGTTAGCGGTTGGTACCAATCATAGAAACCGCTCCGTACCGTTTCAAACCGCTCGAAATCGCTGAATTTCAAAAACTCCTTCCCGCAAGCGTTTGCGGTTGCGGGCGGTAGCGGTTGGATTTAAATTAAAAAAAAAAAAAAAATCAAACGTTTACTTATAATTATTATAATATATATTAATCATATATATATATATATATCTTTCATCTTTGTATCACGTTCTCATCACAAACCCTAATAATATTCTGAAACTCTATTCTCTCAATGTCTTCCACCCAAACTGATGAAAATCAAGAACCAAACGTAAGTATCATATATCATTTTATTCATTCATCATCGTTTTTTCTTTTTCATTATGTATTGCTTTGCTTTTTGATTGAATATATGTTTCGATTTGTTTTCTCGAATAGAAACTCACTTGCTTTTTGATTGAATTCAACGTTATTTACAGTTTGTCCCATTACTTGATGCAATTTAATTTTGATGTTAAACAAGATGCATAAAGTACTATCTTGTTACAAAATTTCTTTACTTTTGAATAATTATTTAGTACTTTATTTATGGTTTTAATTATTAAGCATGTTTAATTTTTCTAATATTATCATAATAATATATTGGTGTTTTTATTTCTTTTTTTTGTAATATTTTTTATTTATTTGGTCATTTTTTTATTTAACTGCTACCGCACCCGCTGGTTTACCAGTCATAAAACTCCCGCAAACGCATCCATTTTCAAACGCTAAACCAGTCGTTCAAAACGCTTGGTAAGGCTTGAAGCCGCAACCGCCCGCTTCCGCAAACTCCCGCAACCGCAACCGCAACCGCTGCGTTTAAACCAGTCAGGCCCTTAGAGAAATTGTAAAATCAGTAGATACCGTAGCCCACTGCCCACGAATTAAGGGGTTTTCATCACATGACTATTTAAAGCATTTGATGATTCCCATGCAATCCATAAATACAACAGTAATGATGAGTGTCATCATAACCATAATCATTAATACTACTACTTAGTAGTACTACTAATAATCGAACTCAAAGCATTTAAGATATAGAGTTCCAAAACAAGAAAAATTGCAGCCGAACAGCCATGTGCACGACAACTTGGTTCCTATCACTTCTTTTTTTTTTTTTTTTTTTTAACGCTGTTCAAGTATTTTTTTATTATTCTTTGTGAATCATTTTCTAGTATTTCTATAGAGAATGCCCTTTCTTAACTGTGTTATTCTACATTAAAAAAGTTTTATATGATAAAAGTAATGTTTCTTTCAAAATCAAGTTTTGAGAGGTTGACATGTGGCATTTTTTTTAATTTTGACATGTGTCTTTCCATTCAAATCCATGTACATCATTTTTCTAGATTTGTTTGTCTTCATTTAAATTAAAAAAAAAAAGAGCAAATTGTTGAGAATGTCCTTAAATCCATTGTATTTTACTCTAGTTAAAGTTGAAATGTCGAGGTTTTACATTCGTATAATATTAGGTGGTTGTAATGTTTTGCTGAAGACCGCTTATAATCTATGAGTCTAAAACTCATTGCTAATATTATACGAACTTACATGATCACACACCTAAGCAAATTGGATCAAATATATAATTGAGTTTAATTTTGATTAAATCAATATTGAAATAAAAGATTTATTTTTATATATGATATATAAATTAAATTAGAAATATATAAACTATATATATGATATATATGATACTAGAATTATGACCCGTCCTATGGACAGGTAGTAACTTTTTATATTATTTAGCATTTTTTGTTTTGTAAAATCTAAAAGTTACGAACTTACGATCTAACCAAAAAATAGATATAATACCGATGATTTCTTAAGCATGTTAAAAAGAATTATTGAATTATTATACGTTTGAGGCAATAATAAATCAAACTCGTTGAATTTATATCACAATAAATAATAGATAACACATAACGATGAATCTATATATACATTTTTGAAGTACATTTATGAACTAAATCCTGGAGTTGGGAAGTAAAAAATAGAGCTAATATCACAATTCCTTGTTCCCTTGTTTAGAGAAGGTTTTGAGGAAGAGGGTTTCAAGTTCATTGGTACTGTTGGTTCCGGCGTGCACATCTATGCTCCTCGATATGACAGTTTTCTACCTCGCTATGAGTCGGTCATCGATCAATATGTCATTTACCATTATCCCAACAAACAGATTGTGGAAAAGGTTCGAATCGAAGGTGATTTCAGGGATTTTGCTGGAAGTATTGAACCCTTCCTGGACTACATTGAAAATCCAGCCCTCAGCCCCATTGGGACTCCATTCTGAAATATCTCTCTCAGGTATTGTGGAGATTACTGTTAGCTTTCTATTATAATCCACTTAATAGAGTACACAATTTACTTTTAAAAAGTCTGGTCTAACAATGTTTCTCATGGTTTGTATTGTTGCAATTCACCTGTTGCCTAACTTGGTCAGTTTTGAAGATGGCGAAGCAGAGAGACAATCCTCTTCTCTCATAGTTTTCTAAGTAGTCCCAGTCCATCTTCAGTTTCAGTTTTAAAAAGACATATAAGTAGTTTAAGTTTGATCATCTCACTAATACCTGTTTAAAACTATTAGTACTAAATTATTGCTATATAGCACCGTTATTCTTGAATGCAAACCAAAAGGCATTGAAGAGAACAAAGTTATATTTGTTCGTTTTTTTCTATATTTGTCAATAATTGGGCTTACTACAAGCTCATGCAAGTTAAGTAAACGTCAATGGTTTCTAAACTTAATTGCCTTTGGGTTTTCATAAACGTGTATATATGTGAATATAGCTACACGAAATCATTGAGTGATAATACTTGTATAATTCTTGTCTGCGAAAGAAGAGTTGACCTGATCGAAACCAAAACCCTAAAAGACTAACTTGTGTAACGAGAGTTTTTGAGATTAGAACTCAACGGAACTAGTATCCCATGTCTGATCTAGTTTGTGTGCGTGTGGATACCGATAGAGGCACAACACTTGGGATGCTAAAGAATCTCGAATTAATATGGTTTATCTTTCCGCTGCAGAATATTCAGGTATATTCAAACCCTATGATCTAGATTTAATTCTTTATTTGTACAGTTCCTCGCAATTGAATTCGTTATTTGTATTTATAAATCGTTATAAACTGGTACGAATTCCTACATAAATTATTTTATATTATATTAAAATAAAATCAAGCACTGAGAGGATGACATGTGACATGTCTCCTTTTGATATGTGTCTTTCCATTCAAATCAAAATAAATAATTTTGGGCATTTTTTTCCATCATTTCAATTTAGAAAATAAAGACCAAATTACTTTATGATAAAACAAAATATTAAAATATTTAATATAAATTTTTGTACCAAATTTTAAATTTATTTTATTCTAATTTAAAGGTAAAAAATTGAAAGATCAAATTATTTTATATTAAAATATTATAGTATTTATTGTATAATGTTTGAGAGAAAAATGAATTTATTTTATTCTAAAATGATTTTAAAACCTATAACAACATGGTATTTATTTTATATTGTTTTTTTCAACATATAGCATGTTTTCTGTAATCTATTTCTATAATCTATTTGTTGTAATATAAATAATTCACATGACATTGTTATTATATTATTTGATTATGTATTTTTTTATTAAAAATAGATTATCTTGACTTGGACTTTACAAATAATGTTCATTTACATATTTACATAAAGTAAATATATATCAGATATTGTAGTTAATTTGGTTATTTTTATTTTAAAATTATGGTGAAATAAGGAAAAATCTAGGAGAAAAACAACTTTAAATAAAATAACAATCTTAAATAAATATTTCAATTTATAAATTTTGGTCCATTTCAAATAAATGCATATAATTGGGTTATAATAAGTCCAACTGTTACAATACTAATTACTCGGTCATTAAACACCATTTAAACTAAGTTATAACATTTTATTTTGTTACATGCAAACACACATATTTTCCTATGAATAACAAAACTTACATTCCACTATCCATCATATTTTGAGTACTGTACATAATTTTGTAAATTCTATAACAATATTTGTATACAGTTATTAAAGTTCTAACTTTTTTCTTATTCAATTTTGTAGGCTTGGAAGGTATTATACGTGCAATATACCATTTATAAGAAGTCTATTTGATTCATATAATTGTAAGATATGATATATATTTTACCTTTTTTAACATTTTAGTTGTCTTCTTTTTCTAATATTTATCTTTGTATATAAATATTAGAATGTTAAAAATGATTATATATGATTTTGATTTCTTTGTTTCAAGTATGTAACAAGTTTTTTTAGAATTTCAAAATCATCAATCATGTGTTATGGGGGACAACATGAGAATAGAGAATGCTTTTGCATTTACTTTGAGTTTAAAGGTTAATTTTTATTTCATGATAATATAATTAAATTAAAAAAATTTGTATATAGTATCACATTAAGTTTTAAAGTATCATATCAAACACTAAATTATAATCAACTATTATAATGTATATATTAAATATTTAAAAATATATAATTTGAGTGATAGAGGATATCGTTTGTATTTAGAATCACATTAAATTATTATCGTGTATTTTTAGTGGAAAATTTTAATGTTATTTTTAGCCTTATTTGTTTCTGGAAGGGAAGATCATTGCTATTGGACCTCGTGGATCTAAATCACAAATTGTTGGTCTAAACAATGATTTCAAATACAAAGAAATCCCAACAGAAAACATGAAGTGTGATAGTCAAATGTGTGACAGGCAATTGTTTTACATTCTAATAACTCCTCCCAAGGTAAAATTTTCTTAACTTCTCCCCCATCTCCAAATTTGTAGAGATATTCCTATTTCGGTTAGAGTTGTTTTCGAATTACGGAATCAAACTTTTAAATTCTTAGAATATGTTAATCTCTACCTCTTGTTAGTCAATTTCAATGAGATTCATGTTTATATATGATTTCGATTTCTTTGTTTCAAGTATGTAACAAGTTTTTTTGAATATCAAAATCATCAATCATTTTATTATGAGGGACACCAAGAGAATAAACAATGCTTATGCGTTTACTTTGTGTTTAAAGGTTAATTTTTATTTCATAATAACATAATTAAATATATTTTTTTTGTATATAGTATCACATTAAGTTTTACAGTATCATATCAAACACTAAATTCTAATTTACTATTATAATGTATATATTTAATATTTAAAAATATATAATTTGAGTATAGATGATAACTTTTGTATTTAGTATCACATTAAATTATTATCGTGTATTTTTAGTGGAAGATTTTAATGTTATTTCTTAATTTTCACTAAATATTTCTTTTCTTTTGAATTAGGCGTTTCAAGAGTGGAGTGATGGAAAACATTATGATATTTCTCCACCTGTTCATGGCCTTCTCTGTTGTTACAGTAACAATAAGTCGGTGATATGCAACCCCAGCAGCGGAAGGTACTTTGATTTACCCGATGTCACTCAGGCATCTGAGTTCTTTCTGGGGTTCGATCCAGTTTGCAATGTGCTCAAGGTCCTAGCCATGGCTAAGTATGATTCCTGCACAGAGACTAGAGTTCTTACGCTCATTCCGGATGGTAATAGAGTCTAACATTGGATAGTCTAGTTCCACATATGTCTACATCACATGGACTCTGCCTTGGAGGGAAGATATACTATATAGCACTTCGTGAAGACTACATAACCAACTTTCTAATGTGCTACAATCTGCAAACAGAAGAATTCAGCATCATCAGCTTACCTCAAGAAATCGAAGTTGAGAACTACTTTCTTTATCGTTCTTGTGATATGTTGGTGACGTTCAATGGCAAACTAGCCATTGCACGTGATGAAAATGAAGATGGTGCTCTTACTATATGGAATCTCGAGGAGGATGCAACAACATGGTGCAAAAAACAATTCCTTGTTCCCTTGTTTAGAGAAGGTTTTGAGGAAGAGGGTTTCAAGTTCATTGGTACTGTTGGTTCCAGCGTGCACATCTATGCTCCTCGATATGACAGTTTTCTACCTCGCTATGAGTCGGTCATCGATCAATATGTCATTTACCATGATCCCAACAAACAGATTGTGGAAAAGGTTCGAATCGAAGGTGATTTCAGGGATTTTGCTGGAAGTATTGAACCCTTCCTGGACTACATTGAAAATCCAGCCCTCAGCCCCATTGGGCCTCCATTCTGAAATATCTCTCTCTCAGGTATTGTGGAGATTACTGTTAGCTTTCTATTATAATCCACTTAATAGAGTACACAATTTACTTTTAAAAAGTCTGGTCTAACAATGTTTCTCATGGTTTGTATTGTTGCAATTCACCTGTTGCCTAACTTGGTCCGTTTTGAAGATGGCGAAGCAGAGAGACAATCCTCTTCTCTCGTAGTGGTGCTGAAGATGTAGAAGAAGACGAATATGCTTTTTACCAAACAAAAAAAGAAGACGAATATGCTTTTTTTACTTTCTTTTAGAAACTTGACATTATGATGCTTTCAATTATGAGTAATTAGCTAGCTTTACCGTAAGACACGATGAGTGAAAAGAACCAATAGAATATGTCCCAGTCCATCTTCAGTTTCAGTTTTAAAAAGACATATAAGTAGTTTAAGTTTGATCATCTCACTAATACCTGTTTAAAACTATTAGTACTAAATTATTGCTATATAGCACCGTTATTCTTGTATGCAAACCAAAAGGCATTGAAGAGAACAAAGTTATATTTGTTCGTTTTTTTCTATATTTGTCAATAATTGGGCTTACTACAAGCTCATGCAAGTTAATTAAACGTCAATGGTTTCTAAACTTAATTGCCTTTGGGTTTTCATAAACGTGTATATATGTGAATATAGCTACACGAAATCATTGAGTGATAATACTTGTATAATTCTTCTCTGCGAAAGAAGAGTTGACCTGATTGAAACCAAAACCCTAAAAGACTAACTTGTGTAACGAGAGTTTTTGAGATTAGATCTCAACGGAACTAGTATCCCATGTCTGATCTAGTTTGTGTGCGTGTGGATACCGATAGAGGCACAACACTTGGGATGCTAAAGAATCTCGTATTAATATAGTTTATTTTTCCGCTACAGAATATTCAGGTACATTCAAACCCTATGATCTAGATTTAATTCTTTATTTGTATAGTTCCTCGCAATTGAATTCGTTATTTGTATTTATAAATCGTTATAAACTGGTACGAATTCCTACATAAATTATTTTATATTATATTAAAATAAAATCAAGCACTGAGAGGATGACATGTGACATGTCTCCTTTTGATATGTGTCTTTCCATTCAAATCAAAATACATAATTTTCGGCATTTTTTTTCCATCATTTCAATTTAGAAAATAAAGACCAAATTACTTTATGATAAAACAAAATATTAAAATATTTAATATATATTTTTGTACCAAATTTTAAATTTATTTTATTCTAATTTAAAGGTAAAAAATTGAAAGATCAAATTATTTTATATTAAAATATTATAGTATTTATTGTATAATGTTTAAGAGAAAAATGAATTTATTTTATTCTAAAATGATTTTAAAACCTATAACAACATGGTATTTATTTTATATTGTTTTTTTCAACATATAGCATGTTTTCTGTAATCTATTTCTATAATCTATTTGTTGTAATATAAATAATTCACATGACATTGTTATTATATTATTTGATTATGTATTTTTTTTATTAAAAATAGATTATCTTGACTTGGACTTTACAAATAATGTTCATTTACATATTTACATAAAGTAAATATATATCAGATATTGTAGTTAATTTGGTTATTTTTATTTTAAAATTATGGTGAAATAAGGAAAAATCTAGGAGAAAAACAACTTTAAATAAAATAACAATCTTAAATAAATATTTCAATTTATAAATTTTGGTCCATTTCAAATAAATGCATATAATTGGGTTATAATAAGTCCAACTGTTACAATACTAATTACTCGGTCATTAAACACCATTTAAACTAAGTTATAACATTTTATTTTGTTACATGCAAACACACATATTTTCCTATGAATAACAAAACTTACATTCCACTATCCATCATATTTTGAGTACTGTACATAATTTTGTAAATTCTATAACAATATTTGTATACAGTTATTAAAGTTCTAACTTTTTTCTTATTCAATTTTGTAGGCTTGGAAGGTATTATACGTGCAATATACCATTTATAAGAAGTCTATTTGATTCATATAATTGTAAGATATGATATATATTTTACCTTTTTTAACATTTTAGTTGTCTTCTTTTTCTAATATTTATCTTTGTATATAAATATTAGAATGTTAAAAATGATTATATATGATTTTGATTTCTTTGTTTCAAGTATGTAACAAGTTTTTTTAGAATTTCAAAATCATCAATCATGTGTTACTGGGGACAACATGAGAATAGAGAATGCTTTTGCATTTACTTTGAGTTTAAAGGTTAATTTTTATTTCATGATAATATAATTAAATTAAAAAATTTGTATATAGTATCACATTAAGTTTTAAAGTATCATATCAAACACTAAATTATAATTAACTATTATAATGTATATATTAAATATTTAAAAATATATAATTTGAGTGATGGAGGATATCGTTTGTATTTAGAATCACATTAAATTATTATCGTGTATTTTTAGTGGAAAATTTTAATGTTATTTTTAGCCTTATTTGTTTCAGGAAGGGAAGATCATTGCTATTGGACCTCGTGGATCTAAATCTCAAATTGTTGGTCTAAACAATGATTTCAAATACAAAGAAATCCCAACAGAAAACATGAAGTGTGATAGTCAAATGTGTGACAGGCTTGTTTTACATTCTTGGGTTCAATAAGAACAATTCTTGGGTTCACCCCTAGGGGTGAACCCTTATATTCACCCCCTCTAGTCTTAGCCAATCATTATGCCATGTCATATAACATTAAATAAAAATTAAAAATTAAACAAACATATTAAATAAATTTAAAAATAAAATTATTAACAAAAAGATGTAGTTTAATTAACAGAGTCGCAGACCCCATCAATCTTGTAGCTTATTCATGGGGTCTTTCTAATCTTAAACGAGGATAAATATAAAAAACACATACATATGCATATAGAATTGTGAAATCAAAATCTGATTTTTTTGGTAGTTAAAGTAGTCTTCTTACTGCACACTTTCTTAACGCAAAGGAGTGTTAGTAAAATTTTTAGGTTAGCTTTTTATGTCCTTCATTGTTTTTTTTAGTAAATTCTCATCGGATCAAACTTTTTTTTTGCTTCACTGTTTTTTTTGTGAATGGTTTTTGTAATTTGTAAGTGCAGATCTAATTGATTAAAAGGTCAAGCAAATTTAATGTTCAAGCAAAATTTGAATAAATCAGATTAAGAGAGACAACCAAACCAAGTAATGATCCACATAGATAATTAAAAGCCAAATCAACTCATCAAGTTTAAATCCGAAGCAAGTAACACCTTCTTCCATTACGTTTGAAAATTATTAAAATTCAATTTCAGTTCCAGGATTATGGAGGTTCTAATAGGGTGAAGAAGTTAATGCTATCAATGGCCATGGAATGAAATAGTAAAACCTAAAAAGAAAGACGACTAATATTTTTTTTCAAGTCTACGACTCTATTAATTAAACTAATTTTTTTGTTAATGATTTTATTTTTAATTTAATTTATTTGTTTGTTTAATTTTTAATTAAATGGTATATGACATGGCATATTGATTGGCTAAAACTAAAAGGGGTGAATACAAGGGTTCACCCCTAGGGGTGAACCCAAGAATTGTTCAATAAGAACTCCTCCCAAGGTAAAATTTTCTTAACTTCTCCCTCATCTCCATATTTGTAGAGATATTCCTATTTCGGTTAGAGTTGTTTTCGAATTACGGAATCAAACTTTTAAATTCTTAGAATATGTTAATCTCTACCTCTTGTTAGTCAATTTCAATGAGATTCATGTTTATATATGATTTCGATTCCTTTGTTTCAAGTATGTAACAAGTTTTTTTTAATATCAAAATCATCAATCATTTTATTATGAGGGACACCAAGAGAATAAACAATGCTTATGCGTTTACTTTGTGTTTAAAGGTTAATTTTTATTTCATGATAACATAATTAAATATTTTTTTTGTATATAGTATCACATTAAGTTTTACAGTATCATATCAAACACTAAATTCTAATTTACTATTATAATATATATATTTAATATTTAAAAATATATAATTTTAGTATAGATGATAACTTTTGTATTTAGTATCACATTAAATTATTATCGTGTATTTTTAGTGGAAGATTTTAATGTTATTTTTTGTTTTCACTAAATATTTTTTTTCTTTTGAATTAGGCGTTTCAAGAGTGGAGTGATGGAAAACATTATGCTAAAAAAGATCCAATAGTAGAACGGTGAATCATTTCAAATTATTAACATTCATGGTCTTTAGTTATTTACTTAATATAAAAATTCAAAATTTATATATGATTTTTAGTGAACTTATCTATGTTATAGCATTTTAATAAATGGTGGTGGAATATTTCAAATGAAAAATTAAGGTTGGAATGATATTAATCGTGTATGTTGGTAATATATTCAATATAACTATTTTTGTGGAATAGATGTAAGATTTTAATATAATTATTTTCGTGGTGGAGAAACATCTCAATACATAGCGTTATATTTGGTTTGCCCAAAAACAAATAAACCGCTATTTGGAAATTTATTTTGAGTATTTAGGCTATTTTCACTTTGAAATGACATATTTCTATTTTTTAACTTATTCAATAACTAAATGATTCAATGCGATTTTATACATATTTCTTTCATATTTTCTCTTAAATTTATTATAAATGATTTGCATGACCTAATTCTAATATTATTTTGCAATGTCAATATAGTTGTATAAAACATTATTATCATTTTGGTCAATTAAATTTAATTATTTATTTAATGTAAGAAAATTATAGTAGGATGGTGAAGCATTTCAAATTCTAATTAATTTTATTTTGAATGCTAATGACTTTATATTTTTTGAATTAATTATGTTATGTAACACTAGGATATGACCCTCGGTACACCACGGGTTAAAATATTTAATTAATTTTATAATTTTATTTTAAGTTGATGAGTTTCTTGTATTTATTTTGTATTTTTTTTGCCTCTTTTTATATGTTAATTTTCCAAAAATCTAGGATTTAACCAAAATAAAATTTTATTATATAATGTTAGATTTTGGTATTTTGTTATTTTGTATTAAAGTTATATGATTATACTTTTTGGTTTTTAAGATTTAACCCGTAAAGTAGATGTAATTTAGTAACTCAATTACACATTCAGAGATTGACCCGCGAGACATTAGTGAAATCAGAATTTGGATATAAAATTCACATTTATAAAATTTAGTAAATTGATCCGTGGGACATTAGTGAAATCAGAATTTAGACCCGTGAAACATTATATATTTACAAAATATCAGAATTTAGATATAAAATTAGTGAAAACCAAAACATACATAGAAAAAAAATCAGAAAACAGAAAACATTAAACATGAATTACAAAATATATTAAAAAAATATGATGTGATTTAGACCCAAAAATTCACCATATAAAAACCTGTTATTGATAAAACTTAATTGATTTAAAAATGATAACATTAGAATAATAAAAATTAAAAATAAGAATCTCATTTTATGTATAAAAATAAATCATTTTCTTCTTACCCTAAAGAAAAAAAATGAATGAATTTGTTAGCCTTAAAAAAAAAAACTATTTACAAAAATATTCTTTATTAAGAATGTGGAGAAGAAACATTAAAACGTTTGGAAAAAGAAACTGGACAATTGAAACAAAAATCGAAGATCAAATGATAAGAAGTACTACAAACTAATCTTTTAGTGGAGCATAAAATATATTAGATAACAATTAATTGTTTGAAAGAATGGTAACACGAAAATGATCATTTTTATTTTGCTTTGGAATGAAAAAAATCAAAGTATTTGTTTATGGTGTTTAGGAACTAAGATTGAAGAGGTATTTATAGAGTATAATGAGTAGGTTAAATAAAATATTTTAATCATAACATATCTTGAAGATCAAGCAAATAGAATATATTCGAAATCCCTAAATAATTGGTGGTTTCTGTTTTCCAACTAAACAAATGTTAAGTAGATCAATCATTTTGGGTGGAGATAACCATTTAAATTATTAGGAATTTTTTGGGAAAGTCTCATTATCTGGATCCGAAAGACTTAAATGCGGGTCAAAATCCGAATAAAATTCCAGATCAAAATTAAAAGAAAAACCGGCCCGAAAAAAGAGCAAATATTTACTTTAGATTGTACACGTAATTTTTTTTCATCGACTGAATAATATATGTTCGTTTTAAAAAATTTGATTCAAACTCGTCCACCATATAATCTCGTTCCGAAATATAACCCGTCCTGTAATTTTTTAACCCGTCCCGTGATTTGTTTTTTAAAGGTAGTAATTTTAAAAATTTAATGATTATATATTATATATAAAAGTTTGCAAACTGTATCATTCTCTAAGACAATTATATTTTATAGTTACAATTGTTATTAAGTAACATTCTACCATGATATAATTTTTGGTTTTATACAATCTTTTCTAAATAAGGCTGATTTGATATGTCTAATATTGATGGTATTAAAAAAATTAAGGATTTATTCCGTATTGAAGCGGCGGATTATTGATATTTTAATTTTTTTATTACTGTTGATTCAAAAACATGTCCCGTCAAACCCGTCCCGCCAAAAAACCCATTAATTTTATTAATGTTGATCTTATTTATGATATGATTCTGAATCATGGTCTAAATATTTTAGTCGATGTGGAACGTTGAACACATATTTTTTGTCATTTGGATAATATATGTCCGTTTATAAAATTTCGAATCACAATATATGCAGAAAAAAAAATGATTTTGTTTTACTATATATATTATATGATGATTCAAAACAGTTCAAAACAAATCAAACAAAGATGATAGGCGAATCATAATTCTAAATCTTAATCAAATCTTCTAAATATCTAAATTATTAAATACGGAATATCCGGTGTATGAGTTGGGTTAGATATAACCCGATCCAATAAACTTTTTATGACCAAATTTTGTAAACGGCTCGGATATCCAAAGAATCCGAGAACAATTTTGCCCACCCGACTCAAAAGTGACTGCAAAAATACTAGTATAGATATTTCACAAGCTTATAATACATATTCACAAATCATATTTTTATACACCATATTACTATCTTCATTTGTGTTGTCTATCGTTTTTAATCATCATTTTAAACAGAATTTTATGATCTTATGTCCCATTTGATAATTAACTATGATAGAATTTTAAGTAGTTTTGCGATTTTTTGATATATCAAATTAGTCTTGAAAGATAATTATTTAAAATAAACAATAACTTTTATTTAATATGAAATATAAAATGATCAATTTCCTTAAAGAGTAGTTAAATATTTTTAATGTATATTTAGTCACAAAATATTTACATATATTCTTATATTAGTTTCAAACCAACTCAACACGTAGGACATTTTCTAGTTATTGTTAAAAGAAACTAATTTTAATTATGAGTTCAACTACTATTGAATGTAATTAACAAATGACAAAATATATTTTCAATGTAGCAATATAATTGTTCAATATATAATTAACAGAGTTGAATCATCCACATAACAAAAATTAACGTTAAATAAAATTATTTATCTATATATTTCTCTTAATTTATTTTATCAATTAATTCTTTTGGGTCAAATTGGATTCGTTTGGGTGGTTCCGTCTGGATTCAAACCGGATGATAACGGATTTCAACGTACGAAACACTGGAACAAAACTAAAAAAAGATGGGTATGAATATTATGTTACAAACATGAAGCATGTTAGTTGGTGCATGTCATTATACAAGTTAATACAATAGTTGATGTAGTTGTTGATACATTAAAATAATCTGCATGTGTGATCATATCGTACTATATACATTTTCCCTATTTCTTAATCGTGTTGTTCTACACTAAACTTATCGAACAACTTTGAAAAACTCGTAAGTCACATCCTTAATTTTGAAAGAAAACATTTATACTAAACCAAATCACGCAAGAAATTAGTGATTTTACTTATCTTTATTTTATTATCGACACCTATATGACTTAGGGTTTCCACACCCTTTTCCGGTTCATGGGCCACACACTCATCCGACGGTCTGTGCAATATTTGAAAGACTTGTTTAATGACCATAAAAATTATCACATGATCTGGTTTATATTTTTTTACAATTCACACATTACCGGAAATCACTTCACAGTAGGTCTCAACACTTGATTACCATCTCAACACTTAATTATGGAGTTTTGAAAGGATCTTAGACCGAAAATATTTTAGCGAAAAAAAAAATATAGATATATTTTAGCGGTCTAGATAGTCAAATTATTTTTTTTAAATGCACTTTCGTGAAATAAGCCACCATATTCTAAAAATGGAAGTGTTACACGGAGTAATTCTGTTTTTTGGATCAAATAAATTGAAAGAAGTACTTTATTATTGTTCCTTATTTAATTGCTTCTATAGTGGGTAGAGTGTCATTATTTTGGACATTTATATATATGGTCATATGGAAACGGTTAAATTATTTCGTACGTTAAAACTTAAAACCATGCACGTTCATCAGATTTGACCTGTCAAAAATTCAAAACTTTCATTGCACGTATATATATAAGGTCGCCATATCCCTTGGCGTGTTAAGAAAGAATATAGGGCTACTATGGATCACGTTCTGATCGTTTCCCCAACCATAATCATTAATAGTTCTGAATATGACTTTTTGTTGAAGATACTCGAGCTGAATTACAAAGGAAAATGTTGTTCTGCTAATGATTCATCTTCGTGTTTCATGGGCTTAATATTTACGTCGTATCTACCTCATTTCCTAGTTTTTTTTTTTTTTTCATCTTAGACACTTAATAGGTTTTCATTGGGCTGGGTTTGTGCTTAATCCGATAACAACAATCTTTCCCGAGTTATTGGAGCGAGCTAGTATATTCGGAGAACTAATCATTACTATGCCACAAATATGTCAGTCAAATCAAAGATTTGAATTTTTTGTTTACATTACATGTCACACGTTCTTTGGGATGTGTTTAAAAGATGTTTTTTTTCACTTCCTTATGCTTTCACTTCACATTGGATTAATGTTGTTGCACGAATCAAACATGTACGAAAACAGGATCTTCAGGGAAGTAAGAAAATTCTCTCTTTTAATCAACGAACCCGAACTTAGACACAATATCGAACTACAAGGGATGATCTCGTCAAAGCAAGGAACACCGAACACGAACTAAAGACGAGCTAAGTGCTATTGAAGTCGAGCTGAAAGATGATTGAACGATCTCGCGGCTTGAGGTCGGTCTTAGAGGGAACAGTGTCGGTTGTCCTTTTTATTGTTATGACGCTTTTACCATTCAACCTAATGATGTGGCTCGTCCACTTGGTTGTTTTTGTGGGCTGATGGGCTTTTCTTGGGCCGTCCTTCCTCGGGTTGGATTCTTGTGGGGCTTTCTTTGGGCCTAGATTGGGTTGGATTCTTGTTGGGCTTTCTTCGGGCCTATATTGGGTTGGGCTTGGATAGTTGAATCTAGCCCATAAAAATTAACTGCAAGGAAAAATTGTGTTAAGGTACAACAACTAATAATGTTCCCTTGATCATATCCAGCTCGAACAATGCGGAGACCTCATCAGCTACGTGGTAGGACCCGCCCACTTGAAATGCCACCTCCCCACTTGACATGGTCCTGAGGCTGCTTGTCTCTCTTTCTCTCTCTGAATCTCACTAATTCATTTACTCTGCTTCTCTCAACACAAACCAAACTAACAAGACACATTGTTCATGAACCAAACAAATCATGTACCATCTTCCCACTTCTTGTCTAGTCATATTCTTCCTCCTCTCACTATTTCACCTTCTTCCTTGTGATTCAAGTAATCAAGGACTTGGCTTTTGTGAGACATTGTTTCAGTGTGGGAACATCACCGCTGGTTTTCCCTTCTCGGGAGGGAATCGTCACAAAGATTGCGGTCATCCATCGCTGGAGCTTCATTGCAACAAAAACAACATCACCTCTCTATTCATCTCAAACCAAAAGTACTCAGTTCTCGGTATAGATCAAACATCTAACACTCTTACACTTACCAAACAAGACCTTCTCGGTTCTTTTTGCTCCTCTGTATTCACCAACACAACCTTGCCTCCCGAAACTTTCGAGCTTTCACCTACCTACAAGAGCGTCACTATATTCTACCAATGCTCCTCTTTGCTTCCTAACCTTTCTAGCTATTCATGTCCTGAGATAGGTCCCATCGCAGTGTCTGAAAACCCTGAAAAACATCCTGAGAGCTGCCGTTCCAGTTTCACCGTGAAGGTTCCTACGAGTTTCGATACAAAAGAGAAAGAGTTGAATGTGACCAATTTGGAAAGTGTTTTAAGAAAAGGATTTGAGGTGAAGGTGGTGATCAATGAGAATACATGTCAGGAATGTTTATCCTCTCTTGGAAAATGTCATGGCTTCAACGAAAACTTAACACCTGCAGGAGTTAAATGTCGTCCACCAAGTGGTAAGTTTCATATGCATCATTTTCGTTTCATAGTCCACTTCTTTATTATCATCATCAACCAAAATCCTGCTCTAAGTGATTTTTTCACAATTTTTTAGACATAAATTACTTACTAGTGATTGCTCAAGAGAAAAGGTGAGACAAGTGATAAGCTTAACTTAGCATTAGTCTCTTTCCCTTACTGTTTATTTTATTTTATTTTTTATTTTACTTGTGCCACACACTATTTTTCTGTTATATATATGGAATGTTCAATGTGTGTAGATTCTGAGGGTTCTTGTGGATATAATCAGACCACAAGTACGTTCGTCTGCTATTGTAAAGACCCGTATAGCCTATCATGCAGTTCTGGCAGTAAGATTTCATTCATTGGATCATTTACAGAAACTCTCTTTTAGTTTCAAGTTTTTCGTTTCAGTATTCAGCTCTAACTGACTTTCGTTTTGGTGCCATTTGATCGATGCAGCATCTTTTGTTCGATGGATAATAGGTGCTTATTGCTTAAACCTTTCCTCTCTGAGTTAATTGTTCCTTAATCTTGATTCTCATAGGTTAGTTTTTGGTTCTTTGCTGACAAATTTTACTTATTTATTGGCTATACAGGTGGTATAGTGATCTTGATTCTCATAGGTTAGTTCTCTGCCTAAAGATTATTTTATCTTCTTAGATTAATACATTATACTACAAAGTAACTAACCAAACATTTTCTTTGTTTTTCTACATTGGTTTTTACTATAAGGTGCTATTGTTTCCGTGGTGTTTATTTGCCGAGGTTATGATGTAGCACATCTCTATCAACGTTTTAGTCGTTGAACACTTGGAGTCGGTGTTGTTTTCGTGTTCCACAAGTTTCGTAATTTTCTTTTAATTCCGAATTGTTGTATTTCTTTGTTTGAGATAAGCTCGAAGCCTTATTACGATAAGTCTAGGTTTAGAGTTTATCTCGTTGCTTAGGTCTTTAAATAGAGTCCCGTCGAGTCGTTGTATCAATATCATAAAAGGACTATGGGAGTCAAGGCTCACGTCAATCTGGCCCCAGATTCTGGCTCACATCTCTTCACAATCTCAGGATCATGTAGAAGTCTACTTACTCCGGTATGTTCTGCAAGCTACAATTTACACAATTTGGCGAGAGTGAAAGAGTCCGTGACACGGAGAGGCACCAAACAGTCCAGCAACTCTAATCGGATGGATAGATAAACAGGTCCGAAATCAAACCACTACCATCAGACATATGGGGGACAGGAGGTACGACATGGCGTTCCAAGTTTGGCTCCGAGCTCGAGTTTGATCGGTTTTAAAAACATTTTTTCAATCTTCTATAGAAATTCAAATTGTGGTTTCAATTTTTTCTTTCGATAACTCGTTGCACTAGTTGTAAAACCGTTATTTTTCTTTGAATATAATTTAAAATTACATTCAAAAAAAAAAAAAAACATATCAACGATTTAAGATCAATAAAGAAAAACCAAAAAAAGGCAATCTTAATTGCCCAAAAGAGCTTTGTTTCAAGGCCCTGAGAGGAGGACTCTCAAACACCGTCGCATTTGATCCTCGGATCGAGTTCTTCGAACTATCCCTTGTAGATTTTCTCCTTGAAAACCAACAACCACCGTTACTCTGTTCTTCATACTCTGTTTTCGACTTCACCTTCATCTCTTTGCTGACAAACTTTACTTATTTAATGGTGTATTAATCTTGATTCTCATAGGTTAGTTTTCTGCCTAGAGATTATTCAAAAAAAAAATTATCTTCTTAGATTAATACATTATACTACAAAGTAACTAACCAAACATTTTCTCTGTTTTTCTACATTGGTTTTTACTATCAGGTGTTATTGTTTCCTTGGTGTTTCTTTGCCGATGTTGCCGAGCCAAGATTTTGAGAAAGAAAAATCATCTGATGCTCTTGAAGTCCCTCCTAAACCTGTTGTGCAAAATCCCACATGACCTATTAAAGAATCATCAGCACTCTGAGAGGATATCAAAGTACGGAGTTGATCCAAGAAGCCGCCATGGAACCTATCAAAGCACGGAAGTAGCAACTTTTGAATAGTGTTCTTGTATACTAATACATGTTCTCTATTTTTTATGAAAATATTATTTACATGCATAACTTTATAGTATCTTTTCTCTAGAGTATGACCTTCAAGACAATATTTTTTCACAAACTTGAAGGTTTTTATTTTCAATCTCAGAGATTGTTGAACCTTCCTCTGAAATCCAAGAAGATTCAAGAAGAGGTACTACAGGAATTTGTTGCAAAACAGGTTTAGGTGGCACTTCAAGAGCATCCAAGCTTCCTTCCATCATCTCTACTACTTTGTTCATCGGTGGACGATCTGACGGGGAAGACTGAATACACCATAAACCCACCAATGTCATCTTCTTTGCTATTTCCTCTTCCTCGCTGCTGATTCCATTCTCGATATGCTTTCCCTTCTCAAGATCCTCACTGTCTGCCTTCTCAAGATCCTTATAAATCCATTCTGGAAAGTACATCGAGCTTTCGTTCGATGTAGAGTTTTGACCAAATCTTTCTTTCTTCCTTGCACCTATCATTTCGAAGACCAACATTCCGTAGCTATACACATCAGACTTGTGAGAAACGCTACCATAAACTCGAGAGATCATCTCTGGTGCAATGTATCCTATTGTACCTCTTGTATCCATCAATGACATGACGCTCTCTTTCTTCTCGCATAGTTTAGCAAGTCCGAAATCAGAAACTTTGGGGGAAAGATTATCATCCAACAACACGTTCTGAGGTTTAATGTCGAAATGCACAATCCTTGTTTTGCAGCCATAATGCAAGTACTCTAGACCACGAGCAACTCCTAGTGCGATCCCATACAGTGTCGTCAAGTCCAAATTCACTGAAGTCTTTTCCGAGATGAACTTATCTAGAGACCCATTTTCCAAAAATTCATATATAATAGCTCTTTTTGAACCTTCAGAGCAGAATCCAAGAAGAGAAACAATGTTGACATGAGATGTTTGGCTCATGCTAGAAACTTCATTGATGAAGTCTTCACTATTATTACCCTTTGATTCTTTCAAGACCTTAACCGCAACAACACGGCCATCATTAAGTGTTCCTCGATAAACAATTCCAAATCCGCCTCTCCCAACCACTTCCGCAAATGACTTTGTCATTTTCTTCACTTGCGCATAAGTATAATGTTTGAGTGGAATAAGGGCCTTTAGCTTCTCTTGTCGCCGCTCATCTGATGTTTTTCTCATTCGGAAAATTCGAACTTTGCAACAAGGGCACAATAACACTAGGAAAGCAATAAAACCAGCTACTGTACACAAAGCTGTCAAAAACAAAACAGAGAAAATCTTCTCTTAGTAACTTTTTTTTTTTTATCTAGCAAAAAGAAACATGTCTAGGCATTCAACTTACCTACAAGAATGCCGATGATGATAACAACTGTAGAAAAATCAAATAAGTAAAATTAGTCAGCATAAAAACCAAAATAGATTTTGAAAGAAACAAACATTTACTCAGAGAAGATTAAATCAGTCACTCCAAGAAAGGTTAAGCACCTATTCGATTCCGAATAAAATCTGCAACAATCAAATGGCACCAAAAACAAAGTCAGTTAGAATTGAAAACAGAAATTTGAACTTTGAAGTTAAACTTAATAAGAGTAAGCAATCTTACCATCGAGGTTAAAATCGCATTGATAGTCTTGCGGCCCATCTTTACAATAACACACAAACAAACTTGAGTTCTGATTATATCCACAAGAACCGCCAGACAAAGCACATATCGAACAATTTGAGTTATCTTCAAGCTCAAAACCATGTTCAAGAGCCATCTTTAGGTTATTTGAATTTGGACTTCTTTGAAGTGTGTTTAACGCCGGTCCAGAAGCAGGAACACTGACTTTTCTTTTGCACATTCCCCTTAAGTTGTTTAAAACGCCTCTAAACCTGTCAAGTAAAGGAGATGAGAGGTTTTTCGTTACAAAGTAACTTCTTCCACCATCACAGCCAAGCTCTCCAATGTAGGTAGTTGTAGAAATAACCGATGAGTTTAGTTGGCAGTCGTAATATAATGTTAACAGCTCTGTGTCAGCACTGAATTGAAGGACGTTTTCAATGAGTGGCTCATTTAGTGGGTTTGGGGGACAAAGATCGCCGATATAGTCTGATCTGGCAAGTCTTATGATAGAAGAGCCATAGCTCATATTTAAGATTCTGAACTTCACGGAGGCGATGTTAATCTCTGCGAATCCTCTGCTACAATCGAGCTTGAAGTCAGGGTGGCCACAGTATTCCCTGCCAGGTATCCAGAAGGGGTAATAGAGATCTCGCTGATTGCCGCAGCTAAACCGTTTACTGCAGCGTTTCTTAAGCAAATCAGCTGAAAAAGAAAACAAAAAATGGGATCACAAAGAGCATCTTTTGACTTTAAGACAAAGATTTAGTCAAAGACAGAGATAACTTGATCATTCTGTTATACTCTTGTTTTGTTTCCTTGGAGGCCACTCAATAGGATTAGGTGAGAAACTTACCACTAGGTTGATGTTGTGGTACGCAAGTAACTCCACCAGATGGTGAGGTTACGTTGCAGCAAATCTGTGTGGTACTGTTGAAACCACAGATTCCACGAGTGGACGAACATTCTTGACACGGTATCTCATCGATCATCAGCTTCACCTCAAACCCTTCTCTTAGAGCACTTTCCAAATGGGTCAAATTCAAATCTTTTTCATCTGGGATGAAACTCGTTGGAACGTACGTTAACTGTGAAACTGTCTTGGCACGAATATTGGTAATCAAGAGTTTGAGACATTGAGAAAAGACCTAGATCCGGACATGTATAACTTGAGCGGTAAGATAGCTTTGGATCACAGTGATATAAAACGGTAAGGCTCTTATAAGTTGGGGATAGCTTAAAGATTTCGCGGGGGAAGGTTGTGGTAATGAATTCAGCGGAACAAAACGAACCTAGAAGGTCTGTTCTAGCAAGTCTAAGAGTGTTAGATGTTTGATCTATATCAAAAACGTTGTACTCATGATTTGAGATGTTTAAAGAGGTGACGTCTTTTAGGCAGCGAAGCTCCAGCAACGGATGACCGCAAGGTTTGGGACGATTTCCACCCCAGAAGGGAAAACCAGCAGTGATGTTACCACACTGAAACAGAGCCTCACACCAACCTAGGTCTTCTTTACTTAGAGCCCAAGGAAGAGGGTGGAATAAGAAGAAGAGGAAGAACAAGACCAGACAAGAAGTGGGGAGATTGTTCATGATCTGTTTGAGAAATGTGAACAGTGTGTCTTCCAGGTTCTGTTTGTGTTGAGATGAGAGGAGCAAGTGACTTTAGAGAGAGAGAAACATCAGACCAAGTCAGGGTGACATATACAGAAAGACGAAGAGCTTTTTTAATCAAATTGCGTTACTACTTGTGAAAGACCTAGAAAAGTTTTCCAAAGTCAATGGAAATAAAATAAATTTTCTTGGGAAATAAAACTATTTTTTTATTTAAAATTATAAATGCCAAGTGGATCACTATAATGAGATCCAAACTCTTTTTTATTTTATTTTTTTTGTCAACTATCAAAACCATTCTCGTAGCTAACAAACTAATGTTTTAAATATTTAGAACAAGCAAAAGTACGACCATGCGATAAATAAATAATTCCACATTCTAGAAGTTGATTTCATTATTGTGACCTTAGATGTTCTAATTAAATGTGACAATAATTAGATGATATTTTGTAGGAAATTTTATTCTAATTTTAATTAATATATGCTAAGTAGACCAATAGGGTGAGATCTTTTACCCAATAAATTTAATAAAAGTATTTAGAATATGCAAAAGCACAGTCAAGTGTTGATCAAAATATAGTTCAAGAGTCTTTAGATGTAGTAATTACATGTGACAACAATTAGATGATAGGTTGTGAAAAAAAGACATGCCAAGTCTACTAATAATAATTTGAGATCAAAACCTTTCCGTTTACCCAACAAATAAGAAGCTTCAAAAAAAATTTCTTTTTTTTTTTCATTTGAGTCGAGTAGACCCCACCAATAGTTTAATCTCTTACGGGATATCACGATTTAGTGAAGTCGAACTCCGGTAAAGAATGTTACAGCCATGGATTGTTTTAAATTAACCATTGACTAAAAGCTTCCCCTAAAGTTTGAATTATTTTGAATCGTGCAAAAACACAATTATGCGCAAAAAGAATAATTCCACATTCAAGAAACTTATTTTATTAATTACTGTTGAGTTAGATGTACTGATTAATTACATGTAAAAATAATTAGATGGTATTTTAATTTGGAGAAACAATAAATTAATGTTTGTTAAAATACAAGTGGACCAATAGAGTGAGATCAAAACCATTATTTTATCCAACATGATATGCTCTACTACTAAACCAGAGTGTTACAAGCTTATTAATCCGAAAAAATACAAGTGGACCAATAGGGAAAAATCAATAACTCATCAAAGACCTCAGTAGCCATGTACGCTGCAGTATTGTTCCTTGGTGCCACCAACGCTACAACAATTCATCCCACAATTGTCATTGAGCGAACGGTTTTCTACCCCGAAATCGCAGAAATTCTGTTCTTTATAAAAATTTCTCAGTTTAAAACTATTCTAACAAAATTTTCTTCATGTGTATATGATATTTTTTCCTAAAATATGGTTGACACCACAATCAAAATTCAAACGAAAATCAAATCTAAAAATGGGGCTAGTCTGTAAATAGCAGTAGAAATCATAAACAACACGATACAAACCGGCAGGCCCGGCCCACATGCCAAGCAAGTGAAGCAATGGATAATGGCATCGCAATTTTGAGAATATTTTTAATCCTATACTATAACTCTTATATCTTAAATTCTTAATACATGCACTTCTTAGCAGTTGTAGCCATTGTCCACATCGCTTGAATTCTGCTGTTTGTAGTATGCTAAAAACTGATATGTTTTGAAATACTTTTTTCACTATACATGAATGTTTATCAATTATTATAATTTCCTTTAACATTAGTTATATTAGTTTAATTTACAACTGATTTATCAAGTAAAGAACCGGCGTGTTAACGCGAGTCGTAATCTAAATATAACTGAAAGTGTGAACCTATTAGTCCTTGACTTATCAAATTATTGACTTTCAATTATTATTTTTGTCAGCTTTAGAAAAATGAAAACAACTATGTTCAGAAGATAGGAAATAGTATGGTAGAGCTTTATCGGTAAGTCCCTCTCATTCCCACTGAAGACTTATTCCATAATTTACTAACACCAAAAAATCAAAGAAAATAATTGAGAAATACCATTTTTAGGGTCAACTAACAAAATAATTGACTAAAAAGGACACCAAATCTCTGTCACTATTCTTCCTTGACCTAGGGTGCTTCTCGACCTTCACCGTTTCTACTTGCTCCTTCTCTCTCTCTCTCTCTCTCTCTCTCTCTCTCTCTCTCTTTGTCTCCTCACACCACAAGACACATTGTTCATTGATCAAACCGATCATGTACAATCTCCCCACTTCTTTTCTGGTTTTGTTCTTCCTCTTCTCCTTATCACACCATCTTCCTTGTGCTTCAAGTAAACAAAAACGTGGGTGGTGCGAATCTCAGTTTCAGTGTGGAAACATCACCGCCGGTTTCCCTTTCTGGGGAGGGAATCGTCCCGAAGTTTGCGGTCATCCATTGCTGGAGCTTCGCTGCCTTGACAACATCACCTCTTTAACCATCTCAGACCATTTGTACCACGTTCTTAGTATAAATCATACATATAACACTCTTAGAATTGCCAGAACAGACTTTTTACAGTCCATTTGTCTCTCTCCATTCCCATTCGCCAACGCGACTTTGCCACCAGAAATATTCGATATTTTGCCAACCTACAAGAGCGTCACACTCTACCGTTGCTACCCTGTTCTTCCTGACCTTGCAAGGTACGGATGTCCTGCGATAGGTTCGGTCTCAGTGTCAGACAACCTTGAAAATCCTATTAGCTGTGAAGCACGTTTCGTCGTGAACGTTCCTACGAGTTTCGTTACAAAGGAGAAAAAGTTGAATATAACCAATTTGGTAAGTGATGTAAGAAATGGATTTGAGGTGAAGTTAAATATCGATGAGAATTCGTGTCAAGAATGTTCATCCTCTCATAAATATTGCGGCTTTACCGGAACATTACCATTAGAAACTAAATGCCGGCCACTCCATCGACCAACTCGTAAGTTTCTTAATCATTTCATATCCATTTTCTTTAACAACTTTAATTTATACTGAAATAAAACTGAAAATCATTGTTGTAGGCTTTTCTTCTGAAGCGAAAATAGGTGTTTTATCCTCTCCTATTCTTTCAAATAAACTTAATTTGGTTATGAATATTTTTTTGATCACTTAATCAAAACAATTTGTCGTTTCAGCTACAATAGCAGGTGTTTTTCTTCTTCCATTCTTGGTCTTAACATTGGTTGTCCAAATTCTCCGAAAGAGAAAAACTTCACATGATCTGGGCCAGCACAATCTCAAGGAACGTATTCCACAACCAAGTCTCAAAGCACTTATCCCACTGAAGCAGTATAGCTACGAACAAGTGAAGAGAATTACAAACTCATTCGCGGAAGTGGTCGGACGAGGCGGATTCGGAATTGTCTATAGAGGAACCCTTTCTGATGGCCGTATGGTTGCAGTGAAGGTCTTGAAAGACTTAAAGGGTAATAATGGTGAAGACTTCATCAATGAAGTTGCAAGCATGAGCCAAACTTCGCATGTCAACATTGTTACCCTCCTAGGATTCTGCTCTGAAGGTTACAAGAGAGCAATTATTTACGAATTTATGGAAAATGGGTCTCTTGATAAGTTCATCTCAAGCAAGAAGTCAACAAATATGGACTGGATGGAACTATATGGGATCGCATTAGGCGTTGCTCGTGGTCTAGAGTACTTACACCATGGCTGCAGAACAAGAATTGTACATTTCGACATAAAACCACAGAATGTACTCTTAGATGACAATCTTTCCCCAAAAGTTTCAGACTTTGGCCTTGCTAAGCTATGCGAGAGGAAAGAAAGTATCTTGTCACTACTGGACACAAGAGGAACGATAGGGTACATTGCACCTGAAGTGTTTTCAAGAGTGTATGGTAGAGTCTCCCACAAGTCAGATGTATATAGCTATGGAATGTTAGTTCTCGATATAATAGGAGCTAGGAACAAAACATCAACCGAAGAAACTACATCTAGCACAAGCTCAATGTACTTTCCCGAATGGATATATAAGGATCTTGAGAAGGGAGACAATGGAAGGCTTATCGAGAATAGAAAAAGTAGCGAAGAAGATGAGATAGCAAAGAAGATGACGTTGGTAGGTTTGTGGTGTATTCAGCCTTGGCCATCAGATCGCCCAGCGATGAACAGAGTGGTAGAGATGATGGAAGGAAACCTGGATGCTCTTGAAGTGCCTCCTAGACCTGTTTTGGAATGTTCCGTAGTGCCTCATCTTGATTCTTCCTGGATTTCAGAGGAAAATTCAATCTCCTCCGAGATATGATTTTCTCCATAAACTGCATATCGCAAGCTTTTAGTTTATGAGTAAATCTCTGTCGTTTAAATGTGAATGTTCTTTGCATAACAAAAACAATGGAACACATTTGTCATTATTTAACTTGAAAGCCCTCAGATACATTTTCGTTATGTCATTAAGCAAAACAGGGGAAAAACAGAGCACATGTGTGTGAATATTTTACTCTTTGATAACAAAAACACACAATATAGAATATATTTTTACTTGCGGCTTCAAGGCTTCTCTTTAACCGTTTAATGTACTTTTGGATGATTTAGTTTTTATCTTAGTAAGTTTGTCATTTTTGGTGGTGAAAAGGTCTACTCACAATCTCATATTGTTGAATTTTCTAAGGTCGAATAAGTCACAGACAGGTTAGGAGAAAGTGTGGTCAAGGTTTACAAATAAGTCCCTCCATTCCCACTCAAGATTTAATTCCATGTTTTGCCTCAAGTTCCTAGAAATTTCTTACGAACTGACTGACTTGTCTTTGATATCTCTAATTCTCTGTATTGCTATTTGAAAAATACATTAAAGAAAATAAATTTTAATTTGTAGAGTATTGCATATAATGTCATGAGTAAATTATAATATAATAATTAGATTAGAAATGATATAATTGTTCTTGGGAATAATTGAAGAATATAGAGGAACCCTTTCTGATGGCCGTATGGTTGCGGTGAAGGTCTTGAAAAAATCAAAGGGTAATGATGGTGAAGATTTGGTCAATGAAGTTGCAAGCATGAGCCAAACTTCTCATGTCAACATTGTTACCCTCCTAGGATTCTACTCTGAAGGTTACAAGAGAGCAATTATTTACGAATTTATGAAAAATGGGTCTCTTGATAAGTTCATCTCAAGCAAGTCATCGCTCAAAATGGATCGGACATCACTTTATAGAATTGCACTAGGAGTTGCTCGTGGTCTAGAGTACTTGCACCATGGCTGCAGAACAAGGATAGTACATTTCGACATAAAACCACAGAATGTACTCTTAGATGAAAATCTTTGCCCCAAAGTTGCAGACTTTGGCCTTACTAAGCTCTGCGAGAAGAAAGAAAGCATCTTGTCATTGCTAGACACAAGAGGTACAATAGGGTACATTACACCTGAATTGTTTTCCAGAATGTACGGTAGAGTTTCACACAAGTCAGATGTGTAAAGCTATGGAATGTTGGTCCTTGAAATGATAGGAGCAAGGAACAAAGAAAAAGATGATCAAAACTATGCATCAAACGCAAGCTCTATGTACTTTCCTGAATGGATATATAAGGATCTCGAGAAAGGAGACGATGTAAGGATTATCGGAAATGAAATCAGCAGTGAAGAAGAGGAGATAGAAAGGAAGATGAAATTGGTGGGTTTGTGGTGTATTCAGTCTTCTCCATTAGATCGCCCACCGATGAACAAAGTTGTAGAGATGATGGAAGGAAGTGTTGATGCGCTTGAAATGCCTCCTCGGTCTGTTTTGCAACAAACCCCCTCATCAACTCTTCAAGAATCTTCTACTTTTTCAGAGGATATCTCGGATTACGCAGAAAAATATTCCATAAATGTTGCATGAAGGAAAAAAAATCCTCCTTGGAACCATCACGAAAGCAGCAATTACATTTTTCATAGTTTTTTTAAATCTTATTTTCAATTATTTCACATATCCAATGAGTAGGTACAAAGCTTCATCTTTTGCAAATTCTGTAATTTATATTTGATTTCAAGCTAATTACAAAGACAAATTTCGAACCATAAGATCTCATTGATCTTCCAATACACTTAATACAAGAAGAAACTTTATTACCATGTAATTTGGACATTGTGGTTATAAATCATTCTTAGTTTATGTAATTATTATTTTATATTTTTCTTAAGTATGTGATATTCCTATATACCATTCCCCAACAAGGTCTTTCAGATTTTCTTTAAGAGAACATGTAATATATATTTCAGTTGATGGAAAACAATGACACTCCCCGTGATCTTCAATTGGCAATGCCTTGGATTGTATGGGGCATTTGGAAAAACAGGAATGAATTTTGATTGATGGTAACTTGGTAAGCAAGGTTACCTGAACCTTCTTATTGATCATGGTATGGAGGCATCAGACCTATGGAATAAACAGAATGCAATGTCTTGTCTTTTCAGTTTAATAGGACAGGATCTGTTGGTGGTATTTGATGGTAAGCAAGGTAACACGTCGCCTCGTTAAACGAGATTTTAAGATCTTTTGGTGGTATTTCTGAGGAGACCGTACTAGTTAGAGAAGACGGTGATGCACGGTTGTTGTTTATAGAGTGATCTGGTTCTATCTGTGGTCATGAGTTAGAAGTTGGTCAGGAACAAAGTAACAAGTGTTTAGTTTTTAATTAAGAGACTAGTTTCTAGCTTAGGACTAGATTGAGTGGAAAGAGTTCATGTAGAAAGTAGCAGTAGATCAGGAAGAGAACAGCTAACTTAACTGGTTTGAAAATTGGCATTAACCAGTCACTCTCTTTTCACAACTTTCACAAATTGAATTTTCTTCTTTGATATCAGTCAGTTTCAATAGTGAATGATGGTCTTTGCCGTTTTCCATACTCCTTTTTTTTTTTGCAATAGATTCTCATTAGGTTTCAGAAATGACTTTTTATCTAAAACTAATAAAGACTCCAAAGTCTCTTTGTATCTATCACTGTCCTTCCATGACTTTGGGTCAACTAATAAACACACCAAAGTCTCTCTGTATCTGTCACTATCCTTCCTTGACTTGGTTCTTCTCGACCTTCACCATTTCCACTTGCTTCTTATCGACTTATCTCTCCTTTTTTTTTCCTCTCAACAGAAGATCTCAAACAAATCATGTACCATCATCTCCCAACTTCTTATATGTTCTTCTTCTTTGTCTTTACCTTATTTTACCATCTTCCTCATGTTTCAAGTAAACAAGAACTTGGTTGGTGTGAATCTCAGTTTCAGTGTGGGAACATAACCGCTGGTTTCCCCTTCTCCGGTGGGATTCGTCCCCAAATTTGCGGTCATCCATCGCTAGAGCTTCACAGCTTTAACAACCATACCTCTATAATCATCTCAGACCATCTTTACAATGTTCTCCATACAGATCAAACATCTAACACTCTTAGACTCGCTAGAGCAGAGCTTCAAGGTTCATTTTTCAACGCTTCATTCACAGCCACAACCTTACCTTCCAAAATCTTTGAGCTTTCACCGACCTACAAAAGCCTGACTGTTTTCTACCTCTGCAACCCTAAGCTTTCTTACCGTTCAAGTTATACATGTCCTGATAGTGGCCTTGTCTCAGTGTCTCAAAACCTTGATTATCATGATTCATGCAATGGCAGTTTCACGATTAACGCTCCAAAGAGCTTTGTTCCAGAAGAGAAAGAGTTGAACATGACAAATTTGGAAAGTGCTTTAAGAGAAGGGTTTGAGGTAAAGGTGAAGACCGATGAGAAAGCGTGTCAAGAATTTTCGTCCTCTCAAGGAATCTGTGGCTTCGAAAATACCACCCAAGTTTGCTGCAAGGAATCCTCATCATCAGTATGCGATACACTCCATACACATGATGGTAAATGTCTTATACATCTTATTCTCAAGTTGCAGTTTTAAAAAGCCTAGGATTATTTTCCATGATGACCTCAAAAATCATTGACTTGTTTTTTTCACCCTCTCACATCATGTTTTAATTTTTTTTCTTTTTTTGATCTAAGTGACTATATTTTTTCATTCACTCTAACTGAAATTTCTTCATCCACATCAGTCACAGTTTCAGTAGTGAATGGTGTTTGCCTTTCTCTACACCATTTTTTTTTTTTTTTTGAATACTAGGAGGTTCTTGGTCAAAGCCCGTAATTCTCCTAGGCCCAAAACCACAGCATGTAATATTAGTTTCGTCCCAAACGTCATTCAAACCGGCGACCTCTAAGCTTTGCATAGGGTCTTTACCAGTTGAGCTAAAGACACTTGGTCCATTTTTTCAACAATACATTTTAGATTTTGTAGAAATGAAAAACAAGGAAGAAACTAGGAAAGGGCCTTTGCGCTGTCAATATTTTGTAAAATTCGACATACTTTGGGGATATAAAAAAAAAAAAAAAAAAAAAAAAAAAAAAAAAAAAAAAAAAATTCATTAGGTTTGAGAATTGTCAAAGCACATGACTTTGAGGCAACGTATCAAAACCATTAACCTATTCCGTCGTTGTAACTTGTAAGCCACCTAATTCCAAAGAAACTTCGATTTAGAAAAATATTAAATTCCAGAAAGAAACATCTTATATAATATGACAAGGTTTTTTTAGACAAGATCTGAGAAATTGCCATTTGGCACTCTATTTTTTCGACATGTGTCAATTTTCTTTTCTAATTTTTATGCATTAAATTCATTCATTTGATTTAAAAAACGAAAAAAAAAATAGAAACATTAATGCTAATCTAAAGCTCTAAATTGTTTAAACAATTTTTTTATTTAGTAGTTTCACTCTATGTTTTTTTTTTTGGGTAAACATATACTAAATATGAGCACTAAATTCATATCTCACATGTATTTTTTTAATACACATTTATTAATATAAAATAATTACAAACAATATTTTGACTATTCAAAAAGGAGAGGGTTTCATTTTTTTTTTGGGTAAACATATACTAAATATGAGCACTAAATTCATATCTCACATGTATTTTTTTAATACACATTTATTAATATAAAATAATTACAAACAATATTTTGACTATTCAAAAAGGAGAGGGTTTTACTCTTTTTCTTTTGTCTAAAATATTGTTTCATTTTTAGTAGTTTTACTCTATGTTTTATTTCTCGGGTAGACATATGCTAAATCTGACTACTAAACTATATCATGTGTACTTTTTTAATACACATTTATTAAAATTAAAATAACTAAAAGAAGATTATGATTATTCAAAAATCATAAGGTTTTCACTCTATGTTTTCTTTCTTGGGTAAATATATGCTACTGAATACTAAATTAATAAATCCTGTGTATTTTGTTTTTTAATACACATTTATTAAAATAATAATAACTGCAAAGAATATTAAGATTATTCAAAAAAATCATATATATAAAAAGGCTTTTACTCTTTTTCTTTTTCTTTTGGGCAATTTAGCACTCCCATTAAATATATTATTTAATATTTGATTTACATTTAAATTTTCATACTATTAGTGTAAATAGTGCTCACATAAATAAAATCTAATTTTTTGGACGTTTCGTTTGTTTATGTTACATTTATACCACTAAATGAATTACATTGACATTTAATACGTTATGTTGGACGTTTCTATTGTTAAGTTTGTTTAGCTAGGTGCAATAATGCATTCATGACCAGATTAATTACAATAAATACATTTTAAAACCGTAATTAAAATGAAGTGCGTTAAATCTAAAATAATGTCTCAATTGATTCCATATAAATTTCAAACAATATCTAATTTTACTGTAAATCCTGTCTAATTTTATTATAAATCCAATGCTCACATAGAATTTCTCCCTCTTATTAAGTTTTAATTTCTTAAAAAGATGCTCACATAGACTTGTATTTGGAATCAACTACAAGGATGCAAAAGAAAACAGACCAGTGATCACCATAACAGTACGATTATCACACCAAATCGGGAACCCACAGAAGAATCTGTTTACAAAGCCCAAATCAGTGTTTATTAGTCATGATTTAAAGGTTTGTGTAATGTTTTGTAATGTGGTTTGTTTTACTTTAGAACTATAATTGGAAGTCGTTAGTGATGAACATGAGCCCAATGCTCAACTCTGATTGCACAGTCTTTTTGCCTTTCAACATATACTCATAATATTCTAGCCTTCAGTCCCTTAGATTTTTTTCACTTTAGTCCTCTTTTTCAACTATAATATATTTTAAGTTTTATGTTTCGTGAACTTGTCTTTTTCTGGGTTTTAATGTTCTTCATAAGCTTCTTCTCCTTAAAAAAGAAAGCCTTCATTATCCTATGTTTTGTGTTCTTAATCTGGTTCAGGCTTTGTAACTCTTTTTTTAACGCTGAAGAGGACATGGACGGTAGTTAGTACTTCAAATATCATAGACATATATTTTAGGTTTTCTATTTTTACTCAAATAAATCTATGGTGTTTTATTTGAAAAGGTCTATTATATACGATTGATTGTTGATTGTCATAAGCGCTAAAATCCGTAAGTGATGACAATTCATGATTTTTCTTAGACAAGGAGAGTGGTAGGTTTTGGAGGTGGAGGAAATATAATCAAGCCCATTGAGAAAAAAAGAATTGGTTGAAAAGAGCAAACAGTGGATGTAAAAATACACCTAAGAAAAATATATTGTGGGTGAAAAAGAGAGATATCTAATATATTGAAAGAGATATATTGTGAAACAACGACTTAGAAGGAAAAACTATCAAAAAGAAAAAAAAAATTGTATTGAATCACCTATATTTTCTATATATCTATTGGTTTATGTATGTTTCAATAAAAAATAGTTTAAATAATTAATTTGTACCACAGTTCCTGATTAACATTATATTATTAATTAATTAAATATGCAAAAACTCAATAATTTAGTTTAATTTTCAAAAGGATATTTTGTTAATAGAAATTAAATTAGTCAAATATGACATAAATTACTAAATCGTTGAGACATAGCGACAAGAAAAACTTGATCTAAGTTTACATGATATATGAAATTATTTAGCCGTTTTATATTTTCTATTTTTTTGGTTATTGTAAAATACACTTTCAGAAATTAAAAGATGACAATAAAATATGTAGGCTTCTTAAATAAACATATATAATTTATTATAATAACATAAGAATAAATCTATTCAATTTATGTTATCATATTTTTTTTGGCTATAAGTAAAACAAAACCAAAATCAAAATTCAAAATCTTTCGGAGACAAATTCTGAGACACTTAACCTACTTTTTATTTTCTTCTTTATGGTGCATTTCAACTTGCCTCCATGAACTTTTTTGTTTTACACGTGTTATAATGTGTTAAAAGAACCAATCCTTTCACGTTATATAATTTTGTTTAGGTATAAAATAATAACATATTAAAATTGAAGGATCAGACTACTTTGTAAATAAAAGGTTATATAACGGATATCTTTTTCTATTATATTTTAACAGTGTATAGAGATTTAAATTAGGAAAACAATACAATTTGATGATGTTTGAACTTTGATCTCCTAAGTGCGGTTGCTAAGTTTGGTGGAGTTCTAATGGCGAGTCGAAAGAAATGCACTGGATGGCTTGGAATAAGCTGTGTAGTAGTAAATCGGAAGGTGGTGTAGGATTTCGGAATGTAGATGATTTTAACTCGGCGTTACTAACAAAACAATTATGGCGTTTGATATTCACTTTTTGCAAAGGTTTTTAAAGGACGGTATTTTTGGAAATCCAATCCATTGGATAATATTAAATCATACTCTCTTTCTTATGGTTGGAGAAGTATATTCTCAGTTAGATCTCTGGTTATTAAAGGACTTATTAAAAGAGTCGGTTTTGGGGCGTCCATCTCAGTTTGGGAGGATCCATAGATACCAGCTCAATTCCCGAGACCAGCAAAAAGTAATGGTTCAATTATTAACCCATCTTTGAAAGTTAATAGCCTTGTCGACAGCCGGTCAAATTTTTGGAACATGGATCTCTTGAGGGAGCTCTTTGATCCAGAAGATGTCGCGCTGATTTGTGTCTTGCCTTTGGGTGCGTCAACCAAAGAGGATACCCTTGGTTGGCATTACACTAAATCTGTAAAATATACGGTTAAATCTGGTTACCATATGACTCGGATAGAGGATTTGGATGCCTGTTCAAAATCTTTTGGCCCGGATATAAAACCTCTAAAAGCATATGCTTGGAAGGTGCAGTGTCCACCTAAGCTACGATATTTTTTGTGGCAAATTTTATCAGGTTATGTTCTGGTTACGGAGAATCTGCGAAAGAGAAGTATAAATTGTGATACCGGATGTGTTAAATGTGGCACCATAGAGGAAACAGTTAACCATACACTTTTTGAATGCCATCCAGCGAGACAAATTTGGGCTCTTTCTCAAATTCCTTCGGTCCTGGGGATTTTCTCTACGGCTTCTATTTACGAGAACTTGGATCACCTATTTTGGAGAATACCTTCAGAGGTAGAATCATCTTCTTATCCATGGATAATTTGGTACATTTGGAAAGCAAGGAATGAAAAGATCTTTGACAATGTGGATAAAGATCCATTAGAGGTCTTACGTTTAGCGGAGAAAGAGGTGCAATCGTGGCAGCTAGCTCAAAATGAGCTTCATACTGATAACCATGGTTTTTTAGATAATCAAAATCGAAACCGAGTGAGGGAAATCTCACTGGAGTCTAATTATTCAGGATATCGTTGTTTCATAGATGGATCATGGAAAGGAACCGATACTTTTTCAGGAACATGATGGTATTGTACATCATCAAATGGAGAGATGCCAACCATGGGAGTTGCCAACATCCGTAGAAGTCTATCTCCTCTACATACAGAAGTCGAAGCTCTTCTTTGGACGATGAAGTGTATGATTGGTGCTGACAACCAAGATGTAACTTTCTTTACAGACTGTTCAGATTTGGTGAAGATGGTATCTTTTCCAACCGAATGGCGGCTTTTTCAGTGTATCTGAAAGACTTTCAGAGTGACAGGGAAGAATTTTCAACCTTTTCTTTATCTTTAATTCCCCGTAGCGCAAATGTAAAAGCAGATAAATTAGCTCGACAAGTTCGTACCGAACCGCTTCATATTACATATGTAAACAACATTCCCAGGAATGACTCTTTTGAGCTTTAATTTAAGCTGTTGACAAAAAAAATGGTAAATAATATCAAAATTTCATATGTTTTAAGTGCTTGCATTGAATTTATCTACTAATTTTTCAACATTTAATATAAAACTTATGTAGAAAAAAATATATCCTCGACACTTAATCCAAACAAACTAAGTGTGTAGGTTATTTCTTATCAATGAACAGTAGAATTTGATCTATTATTTCGAGACAATTGGTAATAGATGTATTATCACAAAAACAAATTGTGGTATATATTAAAAAAAATTTTATTATATAATGTTTTGAAGAAAAAAGAATAAATTTTATTTTTTAGTTATTCACAAAAATACTTCAAAAATTGAATATATTTAAATTATTTTCAAAACATAATAACAATACAAATGTACTTTCCATATATTATTTTATGTAAACTTCGATCTGTATACAAAATAACTGAATGCATAACCCACGCATCGCGTGGGCAACTTTCTAGTTAAATAAATATTTAAAGTGGAGGTTGGTCCAAATAGACCATAACATGTTCCTTTAGTTCAACTCTTACAAAACCAAGACATTTTCCAATTGCTTCATCTCTTCGTCTTCTTCTTCTTCTTCACCATTCTTTTTTCTTCACCTGCAAAATAATGATCAATTTGTCTTTTTCCCTGACAAAATCTATGTCCTATAGCTTCATATGGATGCTCTTTGTCATCCCATCTTATGTTTTCTCAGCTGATGAGCTTCACAGACGCTGCAGTCCCTCGTTTAGCTGTGGCAATCAGAGCGGTTTCCTGTACCCTTTCTGGGTTGCTGGCAGAAAAGAATGCGGTCACCCTGACTTCGAGCTTGAGTGCAGCACAGGATTCGCAGAGCTTAGCATTTCCTCTGTCAAATTTAGAATCTTAGCAGCGAATTATGACACTGGTATCATAAGACTCGCCAGATCCGATAAGATCGGTGATCCATGTCTCCAAGATTCTTTAACTACGTCATTCAACGAAACCATCCTTCCACTTGCTCCTACCACCGACCTGCTAACCATTTATTACGACTGTAGCCGAGACTTTTCATCATTTGTTTCTACTTTTGTTAAAGACCTTGATTGTCCAGATGATGAGACTGATGATAGAAGAAATTACTATGTGACAAGAAACCTCTCGTCCCCTCTACTTCAAGGGATCAGTAATGCTTTAAACGGCTTCAGGAGATTGTGCAGTAGAAACGTTAGTATTCCCGCATCTAGAACCGCGCTGAACACACTAGAGAGCACTCAAAGTACAGATAATCTAAAGAAGGCACTTGAAGATGGTTTCGAGCTTGAAGTTAACTCAGATTGTCGGACATGCATAGACTCTAAAGGTGCTTGTGGATATAATCAAGCCTCAAGTAGATTCGTCTGCTATAATATGGAAGAGCCACAAAAACCAACTAGAAACAAGGGTAATATTTCCTACATGTTATAATTTCCTAATGGTTCTTCCACAAGAATCACCACTAGTCCCTTCCTTAAATCAAACTTTTGATTGGATCATCTACAGAAAATCCTTTTAGTTTCTGATAACTCTGTACAGAAACTCCCTCAAGTTTCAAGTTTTTCATTTCCAGTATGATTCAAAGTTCTGTATTAGTTAGAACTAACCTATTCTCTTGTGCCATTAAATTGATACAGGCCTCTCTACTGGAGCAAAAGCAGGTGCTTAACCTTTTTCCTAATTTGATTTCTCCGTTGTCGTATTATTAATACCATTTTTAACAACATTTCTATCTCTAGGCATTGGGGCTGCATCCTTTGCAATGTTGGGCGTCATTCTTGTAGTCGCATGTTTGTCCGGTCTCATCAGGCGGCGAAAAAAGACATCAGATGATCCGAAAAGGAAGACACCAAATTTTCTGAGAAGGAAGACATCAGATGATTCAAGACAACAATATCTAAAGAACTTTATTCCACTGAAACACTATAGCTACGTGCAAGTGGAGAGAATTACAAAGTCATTCGCCGAAGTGGTTGGAAAAGGTGGATTTGGAACTGTTTATAGAGGAACCCTTTGTGACGGTCGTAGTGTTGCTGTGAAGATTTTAAAAGAGTCGCACGGTAATGGGGAAGACTTCATCAATGAAGTTGCGAGCATGAGCAAAACTTCTCATGTCAACATTGTTACCCTGCTTGGATTCTGCTCTGAAGGTTCTAAGAGAGCAATTATTTACGAATTTATGGAAAATGGTTCTCTTGATAAGTTCATCTCTAGCAAGAGGTCATCAAATATAAACTGGAGAGAACTATATAACATTGCCATAGGGGTTGCTCGTGGTCTAGAGTACTTGCACCATGGCTGCAGAACAAAAATTGTACATTTCGACATAAAACCACAGAATGTACTGTTAGATGACAATCTTTGTCCCAAAGTTTCGGACTTTGGCCTTGCTAGGCTCTGCGAGAAAAAAGAGAGTATTTTATCATTGCTAGATACAAGAGGTACGATAGGGTACATTGCACCTGAATTGTTTTCAAGAATGTACGGTAGAGTTTCCCACAAGTCGGATGTGTATAGCTATGGAATGTTGGTTCTTGAGATGATAGGAGCAAGGAACAAACCATCAACTGAAGACTCTGCATCGAACCCAAGCTCAATGTACTTTCCAGAATGGATATATAAAGATCTTGAGAAGGGAGACAATGAAAGGCTTATCGAGAACGACATCAACAGCGAAGATGATGAGATAGCAAAGAAGATGACATTGGTGGGTTTGTGGTGTATTCAGTCTTCCCCATCAGATCGCCCACCGATGGACAGAGTAGTAGAGATGATGGAAGGGAACGTAAATGCTCTTGAAGTCCCTCCTAGGCCTGTTTTGAAGCAAATCCCCACAACAATTCTTCAAGAATCTTCTTCTTTTTCAGAGGATATATCAGCATACACAGAAGTATGTTCCATTAATGTCGATAAAGAAAGAAACCTCCATGGAACCTATTAAAGCACAAAAGCAGGCAGCAAACACATTTTTTTTTCATCTCTAGAGCTTTCTTTGGCATGACAGTAAACAATTGTGGCATTACACCCAAAGATGATAATCAACAATTTTGAGTTTCATCTGCAAATTAATAACCTGTTTTATAAATGCTTTGAATTACCATTGTATTTGTGTCATCAGATTATAGACGCTGCTTATCTAGGACTTCTTGGGAACAATTCACTATTTAGCCCTCTCAGACAACAAACAAAGGACTTCAGTGATTTGTATTCTTAAACCTATAGCTAAATATAGTCTTGTCTAAAAATGCAGCTCTAGGCAACACAGATGATCGTACGGTAGGGCAGTGTCGTTTGAACATAACAACAACAAGAAAAATATATACCCAAATGACAAAGCCTGAATTTAAATCTCACAATTCTCTAGAAACAGAGAAGAGAGTATGTGCAAATGAACGCGTTAAGGGGATTAAAGAAATGGAAGCATGAACACATAACCCCCTTTTTATTTCTTATCTCGATGACACTCGTGAGTCGTTTTCTGAGTCATTACTAAACCAAAAATATGTTTTCTCGTTCAAAAATGCATACTTTTAAACGCCTAATTTAGTTTGAAGAAAGACTTATGTTGACTTATCAATTTATTGACATTTCCAGTCTCCTAAATCATTTTTGGCAAGCTTTAGAAAGACAAAAATTGACATTTCCATTGAAGATTTAATTCCATAATTTACTAAAGAGAACCAAAACTCCACTGAGATATACCTCTGTTTCCAAAAAAAAAAAAACCTCTGAGAATGTATCAAAAATATTCACATGAAAACAAAAAAAGTACAAAGCCACACTACCATTTTTTTTTTTAATCAAAGCCACACTACCATTTTTTTTTTGTTATGACAGTAATCATCGGAGTCTTGTGAAACAGTGAAAAATACCTTTAATGTTTCTCGTAAATCCTTTAATTTTTTTTTCTTGAAAAATAAATCCTTTATTGTTGACGAAGAAAGTTTTCTATTAACGAATTTAATCCAGACAGTAATAATTGAGAAAGTTTTCCATGATCTTTTTTCACTAAAATCACCAGCTGATGAAAGTTGACTTCTCAAGTCTTCTAAGTACTTTTTGGTCAAAAAATCAGAGAGAACGACATGTGACATACTTTTATCCACAAGTCCATCTCTTTCCTATGGACGATTAAATCTCATAATTTGCTTCAGTCTCCAAGAAAATTATCATCTTGTCATGTTCTTCTGCTCACAAACATTCATATTCATATCCAAGGAATACAAAAAAGAACACCCAATACCCTTTCTGCTCGCTCTCTGTTGTTTTTTTTTTTACTTGTGGTTCCTGTCAACACAAACAAAACCGATACCCATAAGAAAAACTCAACAATGAACTATCGAGCACTCTTCAGTTTCTTAAAACCCACTTCTTGTCTGTTTTTTTTCTTTCTCTTCACGTTATTGTACCACCTTCCTTGTGCTTCAAGTCAACAAGAACTTGGGTGGTGCCAAGCTCAGTTTCAGTGTGGAAACATAACCGCTGATTTCCCATTCTGGGGTGGAAATCGTCCCAAACCTTGTGGCCTTCCATTGCTGGAGCTTCACTGCAACAAAAACAGCTTTACCTCTATAACCATCGCAGACCAAGAGTACTATGTTCTCAATGTAGATCAATTATCTTACACTCTCACACTTGCCAGACCAGACCTGCTAGGTCCTTTTTGCTCCGCTAAATTCAATACCACGACTTTGCCTTCTGATATCTTTGAGATTTCGCCAACCTACAAGAACCTCACAGTTTTCCACCGCTGCAATCTTATATAATATGAGAAGGTTTTCTTCTAACTTTACCTACCATTGCGACATTTGGCATTCTCTTTTAGTGACATGTGTCCTCCTTCATTTCATTAATGTTTGTTTTAATTTATTTAAAATCCTTAGGTTTGAAAGTTTGTGCCTACAATTTAATTCCAAAGAAGATATTTCTCTTATCCTATTGATACATTTGACATGTATTTAAATTGAAACTTATATAATATGAGAAGGTTTTCTTCTAACTTTACCTACCATTGCGACATTTGGCACTCTCTTTTGGTGACATGTGTCCTCCTTCATTTCATTAATGTTTGTTTTAATTTATTTAAAATCCTTAAGTTTAAAAGTTTGTGCCTACAATTTAATTCCAAAGAAGATATTTCTCTTATCCTATTGATACATTTGACATGTATTTAAATTGAAATTTGTATCTAATTTGTTTTGCCAAAACTATTATCTACTTAAAATCACCACTTATTCATCTGATTCAAAATTATGGATCAGTAAAATTTTAACTTCACAAGATATTAGTACATTTTTTAAACTTCTCATAATATTTGTACATTTGGCATCTATTTTTAAATTTAATTGTTTTCCTCATTTTTCTATCTTACATAATATTTTCATATCTCCATAAAATACATTTCTAATCTTTTCTAATTTGTCTCTTTTTTTTTTCTTCTTTCCAATCTAACTTTTTTTTAAAAAAAAAATCTTTTTTTTTTCTTCTTTCCAATTTAACTTTTTTAAAAAAAAAAATTTATAACACCAATTTATTCTCACACGTTACAACTCCAAGTTGGAGTATTTATTTACAATTTTTATTACACAATACATTTAATGTATTTATATAGTATAATATAATTTACAGGAATTATTAAATTTAATATGTCATCCCATATATTATTTTATAAATGTCTCAGTGAATGAAATTCTAACTTATATAACAGTCAATGTAATTTTAATAAAGAAATATAGTAGCGTGCATTATATTAATTTTAAAAAAAAAATCTTTTTTTTTTCTTCTTTCCAATTTAACTTTTAAAAAAAAAAAATTTATAACACCAATTTATTCTCACACGTTACAACTCCAAGTTGGAGTATTTATTTACAATTTTTATTACACAATACATTTAATGTATTTATATAGTATAATATAATTTACAGGAATTATTAAATTTAATATGTCATCCCATATATTATTTTATAAATGTCTCAGTGAATGAAATTCTAACTTATATAACAGTCAATGTAATTTTAATAAAGAAATATAGTAGCGTGCATTATATTAATGTATTGCTCCATGTGTTACGCATTCTCTCAAAATAAATGTTTGCGACGAGTTTTCTTCTCAAGTAACGCTTTTCATGTGGCTTCTAATACCGAAATATATTAGTGTTTTTTTTTTGTTCTAGAATTAGTTACCCAAAGTAAAACCCACAAATGAACTTATTAAAACATATGTAACGTCAAATAACTCTAAATTGATGCATTAGTGATTAGGCTAACAGATAACCACAATAACTCTAATTAATTCAAAACATTAAATCCAATTAATTCACAAACATGTACGCTAAGTCTACTTCTATATATTACCCACATGTGAAGCTAAAAAAACTATTGTAGAGTTTTTGCTTTTTTCCAGTCCGTTCTTTTATTTTTTATTGACTTTTAGTTGCTTTCTCTTTATTTCAGGCTATCGTCCATATAGTAAAAATATCTACAAAAGTTTTCTCATTTGGTGTTCAAGTTAGGTTTGTGATTTCATATGGTGTTCAAGTTAGGTTCACCAACACCATTAATTCTACATAAAAGTGTTCTATTTTTTTTTTAAGTTCTATTTTTAATTGTTTCTCTATTTTTCAACTCACCAATAAGATTTGTATACATACATTGAGAAAATTTATTTCTATTATTATGGTCAGTTAAAGTGTAATTATAAATTTAAGTATTTAGATAAATGACATTATATTATATTTATTAAATTTTTTCACTCTTATGATCTATATGTATTCATCAATTTGAAAACCATAAGTTTGTTAAAAAAATTTATGATATAAATTGAAAAACCATTTATGTAATTATTTTCAACATCACTTATCAAAAAGTTAAGAGTTTGTTTTCAAATTTATGAATATGTAAAGCTGTTTCAAGATGATTTTTTTCTTGAATACGTAAAACTCATGGGATCATGAGTCAAAAAAAAAAATCAGATAGTTTATGTCATTCTTTATTTCTTTTACATAATTACTCAACGTTTGAGAGGGATCGACGTTTGAGTTTCATATATTTAGAGTAAATAGTTTTTTTGATTTTTAATATTGTATAACATTTGACTTGATAATGTTTTGAATTCAATTTTTTTTAGTTTATCATACAAATTAAGTAAGAAATAAATATCATATGAAAGAATATAAAATTTGTATTTATTTTTATCAAAGTTTCCATAAAATCAACCCAATGAAATTTACCCAAAAAAATTTAAAAAGTTCCACCAAAGGTTTTTTTTTTTAAATCTATCCTCATGGAATTTTTGAAAAGAATTATGTTTGCTAAGAGCATTTGCATAGAATATCATAATTGAGTAATTCAGTTAAAACCTAACATGCCATTAAAGTATTTAGATAAACGGCATTACATTATATTTATTAAATTTTTGTACTCTTATGACCTAATATATATATATATATATATATATATATATATATATATTTTATAAATGGCATATTTATTTTGTTTTCAAAAAATTGAATTTAATATAAACTGAACTAAATTTTTTTAATATAAACTTTCAAAAAGAAAATTTTTATTATATCATCTGAAGTCATTTTCCTAAATTAAATATGATTATAATTAAGTGTAACATATATATTTGTTTTTTGCGCAAAGACTGATTCAATTTAACTTAGGTTTGGGCCAGGCTCATTACAAGAGAAACCAGAGACTGTTTTGCCAATGAATCGGCATCTGAGTTCTGCAAACGGGGAATGAAACTAAACGAAATAACATCAAAGGTAGAAGATAAATTCAGGATATCGAAGAGAATCCCAGGAAGCTCCTTGTACTGAAGCTCCGATTTTAAAGCTTTGACTAGCTGTGCTGAGTCGGAAGCGAGAGAGAGATGTGAAAAGCCCAGATTAACATGTATAAAATATGTTTCTGCTCATTTGGACCACCTTGCTATTTTATTAAATTTAATCATTATCACAAATTATTTAAATTTTTTTAAAATTTTTAAAATATATAGATAAAATTTAGCAAAAAAAATAATAAATATGAATATGTTTTATCTTTGATCTCCTAATTTTATTATGGATTATATGGATATAATATCTAAACCTTATCGTCGAGGGAAAGTCATGAGATCGGGAAGATCTACCTTCTGATGAGATCCAACGAGGGAAAACGGCCAATATCAACCCCAATTATCAACTCGAAACCACATAAATGTCAAATAACAAACCTGAACTATGTAATCGTTAGCCAATTTTAACATATACCTGTTATTAAATAATGTAACAAACCTGAATTATTTAACCTTTAGCCAATTGAATAAAATGAATGATTCAGATACAAAAGAACATATAATTACGACTTAACAATTCTAATCGACATTAACAAATAAAAAAAAAAAAAACTGTGTTGAAATTGGATAACGGTTAGATAGTTTAGGTTTGTTTTTTAAAAATTGTATGAGTTCGGGTTGATTAGTTCTGGGGGTCAGAGTTTGGGATGAAAAAAACCGCATAGAAATAGTTGGAGTTGATTTTGACCGTTTTTCCGATCCAAGGATCATGAAGCAGCAAACAAAAGACTCTACGATGAGGTATAATATATATATTTCCACAATAAAATTTTTTATGTAAATGAAGAAAAAGTAGTGGTATATATTTATGTCATACCATCTTGAATAAAAAAAGAACATAATTTATTTTTTTAGCAATTCACAAAAGTACTTCGAAAAGGAACATAAAAGTTAATATTTTAAAAAATTCTTTTCAAAAAAACTATATTAATAATCGAACGTATTACTTTAATACAAATTTCATTATTATCCAGAATTAATATTAAATATATAACCCACGCATCGCGTGGGCAGCTTTCTAGTTCTTTATATTCTTACCTTTCGAGTTATACATGTCCTGATAAGAATATTGTGTCAGTGTCTCAAAGACATGAATATCAGTCTTCCTGCAATGAGAGTTTCATATTGAACGTTCCAATGAGCTACTTTCCAGAAGAGGAAAATTTTTCTTTGAACCAATTCCAAAGTGTTCTAGGAAAAGGGTTCGAAGTGAAAGTGAAGATCGATGAGATAACTTGTCAAGAATGTTCGTCCTCTGGTGGAATTTGCGGCTTCCATAATACCACACAGGTTTGCTGTGAGACTTCACTCACGGGAGTTAAATGTTCACCAAAGCGTCAACCTAGTGGTAAGTTTTTTCATACATCTATTGAGTGAATTCCAAGGCAAAAATAGAGGATGCTCTTTGTAATAACATTTTGTGTTTTCTCAGCTGTTGAGCTCCATAAACTCTGCGGTATCCCATTTATCTGCGGTGACCAAAGTGATCTCTTGTACCCTTTCTGGATTCCTGGTAGAGAAGAATGCGGCCACCCCGACTTTAAGCTCAGCTGTTACGGAGGATTCGCAGAGCTTAACATCCTATCCGTGAAGTTCAGAATCTTAGAGGTAAACTATACATCTCGTATCATAAGACTCGCCAGATCTGATTATATTGGCAATCTTTGTCCTTTATATCCTTCAAATGCGCCATTTGACCAAAACGTCCTACTATTTGCACCTAACACCGAGCTGCTAACAATTTATTCCAACTGCCAAGACTTTTCATTCTCAACGCCTGTGTACGATCCTACTTACTTCAAAGAGCTTCGTTGTGACGGTGAAGACAAAATAAGTTACTATGTGACGAGAAACTTCTCTTCCCCATTACTTGACGGGGTTAGAGAGCTTTTAAAGATCCTCAGTGTATTGTGCTCAAACGCTAGTATTCCTGTGTCCGGACCTGCGCTGAACACACTTCAGAAATTTCAGACGTCAGATTATTTGAAAAAGGCTCTTGAAGAGGGTTTCGAGCTTGGAGTTAACCGAGATTGCTACATGTGCATAGACTCTGGGGGTGCTTGTGGATATAATCATAACTCAAGTGGATTCATCTGTTATTGTAACAACGGGCCACACCATCTTACTTGCGGTTCTAGAAAGAGTAGTCATGGTAAACCATTGTCTTCTCTGAGTTTGTTCCTTAATTGTAAACTGTTCCGCGCGCGTGCTGACAAATTTTCACTTTCTCAATGGCTTTACAGGGACTGTCATAACAATTCTCATAGGTTAGTTTACTAGCTACATATATTTCAAGCTGTTTTTGATTTTACTAGCTAGTTATAAATTGTTGTTATCATTTTCTCTGTTTTTCCAGGTTCGGCTTCACTAGCAGGTGTTGTGCTACTGGTCATATTCACATTGTTACTTAGAAAGAGAAAAACATCACATGAGCACAGACAACAGAATCTGACTCTTATTCCACTGAAACACTACAGTTACGCGCAAGTGAAGAAAATTACAAAGTCATTTGCAGAAGTGGTTGGGAAAGGAGGATTTGGAACGGTCTATAGAGGAAGCCTTTCGGATGGTCATATGGTTGCAGTGAAGGTCTTGAAAGACTCAAAGGGAAATGGAGAAGACTTCATTAACGAAGTTGCGAGCATGAGCAAAACATCGCATGTTAACATTGTTTCCTTGCTTGGATTCTGCTCTGAAGGTTCCAAGAGAGCAATTATTTATGAATATTTGGAAAATGGATCTCTTGATCAGTTTATCTCAAGCAAGACGTCAATGAACTTGGATTGTATGACGATGTATGGGATCGCGCTTGGTGTTGCTCGTGGTTTAGAATACTTGCACTATGGCTGCAAAACTAGGATCGTGCATTTCGATATTAAACCACAGAACGTGCTTTTGGATGAGAATCTTTGCCCCAGAGTTTCTGATTTCGGACTTGCAAAACTCTGTGATAAGAAAGAGAGCATTATGTCACTGCTAGAAACTAGAGGGACAATAGGGTACATTGCGCCAGAGATGATCTCCAGAGTATATGGGAGCGTGTCTCACAAGTCGGATGTATACAGCTATGGAATGTTAGTCCTTGAAATGATAGGAGCAAGGAATAAACCATACACGGAACATTCTGGATCTAATACAAGCTCAATGTACTTTCCAGAATGGATCTATAAGGATCTTGATGAGAAGGGAGACTATGGAAAGTTTTGCGGGAATGGATTCCCCAACGGAGAAGAGGAGATTACAAAGAAGATGACATTGGTTGGATTGTGGTGTATTCAATCTTCCCCATCAGATCGCCCGGCAATGAACCGAGTAGTAGAGATGATGGAAGAAAACCTGAATGCTCTTGAGGTCCCTCCTAGGCCTGTTTTGCAGCAGATTCCTACGGGACATCTTCAAGAATCGTCTACGCTTTCAGAGGATAACTCGATTTACACAGGACTATATATATTCCATGAATGTTGCATAAAGAAAGAATCCTCCTTGGTAGTTACTAAAGTAAGGAAGCAGCAAAAACATGTATTTCAGATTGACTCTTTCTGTTACCAAACTAAAGACTTTTTTTCTGAACCTATCAACGCTCATCTACATGTATTTGCTGCTTTCGTACTTTAATAGGTTTTCTCATGCTTGGTAGGTTTCTTTGATGTCTAGACTGTTTCAGATATATTAACAATTCGTGTGAGAAATAATCCATGGAAGTGTAGAGAAGTTCATATTTCATAACACAGTGTAGTCATATCTGCGTAAGAAAAACCGATGAACGCATTAGAATAACAATCAAAAATAGTCACCTACTATATAAGAACAGCTCCTATCGATAGTGACAAAAGCAAGATAGGAAGTCAAGTTAAAAACATACAAATATTATAACAATGTTAAGTCTTATGAACATACATTTCATTATAACAATGTAACAATAGTTTTGGTAACTATAAGCATAGGAAAGATGATTGATATGGATTTAATGCTATACACACAGATTTATACGTGGATTGATTCTTCAATTAACATATTATTCCAAAAACACAAACCAATTCTGCTTGAATCTGACAGATTTTGCTTCAATCATGGAACATACTATTATAAAATGAATAATTAACTCTTACTAAAAAATCTCATAAAGTAAACTAATACTGACACTCCCCAAGTCTTTGCCTATTCTGTCACTATCCTCACTTGACTTGGTCCTCAGGCCCTTCAGCGTTTCACCACATCTTTATGCTTTATCTTTTTCTCTCTTTGTCTCTTTGTCTCTTTGTTTAATTCACTTCCTCTTCTCTCTTCTCAACACAAACCAAACCCATAAGACACACTCTGTTCATAGATCTCTGACTAATCATGTACAATCTCTCCACTTCTTGTCTGATCTTTTTCTTCCTCTTCTCCTTATTTCACCCTTTTCCTTGTGTTTCAAGTCAACAAGAACTTGGCCATGGATTGTGTGCTTCTCTGTTTCAGTGTGGGAACATCACCGCTGGTTTCCCCTTCTGGGGAGGGAATCGTCGCAAACATTGCGGTCATCCATTGCTAGAGCTTAGCTGCAACCAAAACAATAGTACCTCTTTATTCATCTCAGACCAAGAGTTCTATGTTCTCCATGTCGATCAAACATCTTACACTCTTACACTTGCCAAACCAGACCTTTTAGATTTCTTTTGCTCCTTTACATTCACCAACACAACCTTACCATCAGAAATTTTTGAGATTTCGTCAAACTACAAGAGCGTCACATTCTACCACCATTGCAAACCTCATCTTCCTTACCTTTCTAAATATACATGTCCTGGGATAGGACCTCCGATCACAGTTTCTGGAAACCCTGAATATCATGAGTCCTGCCTTGCCAGTTTCGCCACGAACGTTCCAAAGAACTTTGTTCTAGAAGAGAAAAAGTTGAATATGAGCAATTTGGAAAATGTTTTAAGAAAAGGATTTGAGGTGAAGGTGAAGATCGATGAGAACGCATGTCAAGAGTGTTTGTCCTCTCATGAACACTGTGGCTTCACCGAAACCTTTCCATTTGAAGTTATATGCAAACCTCACAATTCACCAACTAGTAAGTTTCTTACCCATCACCATCATTTCCTTATCCACTTTCTTTGACATCTTATGCTGAAGAAGCGGTTCTACATCTAATAGGCCTATGATATGTAGTATGACTGTATGAGCATAGTGATGAACTCAATATATATATCTAGTTTCTTTATGCTTAAACTGAAATCGAAAATCGTAGATTACTTTGACATCTCTTCCGATCTTTCTCTCGCACTTTTTGACATAGCTTACTGGTGAACTTAACGGATTTGAAAATTCGCATTAAGTTAGTGTAATCAGTAACTCAGTTTTGAGTACTGACTACTGAATAGTTTTTTGCCATATTAACACTCCAATTTTTTCTGCATTATTTTTAGATTCTCTGGAACTTGGTAAGGGCCTACCATTGGTTTGATTAGATTTTAGAAATGACTTTGAAAGTCTTCGTACAAAATATTAAAATAAAAACCAAGACTTGGACCAAAACCATTGACTAATCCATCCCTTCAATTCCTCTCTTCTATCTTCACCATTTTTTTTTTTAATTTACCTGCAACACAATGATCAATTTGTCTTTTTCGCAGAGAAAATCTATGTTCTATAGCTTCATATGGATGCTCTTTGTGATCCCATCTTTTGTTTTCTCAGCTTCTGAGCTTGAGCTTCATAGACGCTGTGGTGGCCCATTTAGCTGTGGTGATCAGAGCGAGCTCTTTTATCCTTTCTGGACATCTGGCAGAGAAGACTGTGGCCACCCTGGCTTCAAGCTTGATTGTAGCGGAGGATTCGCAGAGCTTAGCATCTCCTCCGTGAAGTTCAGAATCCTACAAGCAAATTATGTCTCTGGTATCATAAGACTAGCCAGATTGAATTATATCAGCAACGATCTTTGTCCCCAAAATCCTATAAATGCTCCATTCGACGAAACCGTCCTTCCATTTGCTCCCAACACCGAGCTGCTAACACTTTATTACAACTGCAGTCGAGCATTTTCAGAGTTTGTTTCCACTTTTGTTAAAGAGCTTTATTGTCAGGATGATGATGACAGAAGAAATTACTATGTGACAAGACATCTCTCGTCCCCTCCTCCCCAAGGGAATAGCGGCTTATTAAACGTCTTCAGGGAATTTTGCAGTAGAAACGTCAGCATTCCCGCATCTAGACTAGCGCTTGACGCACTGGGGACAACTCCAAGTACAGATAATCTAAAGGAGGCACTTGAAGAGGGATTTGAGGTTAAAGCTAACTCAGATTGTCGGACGTGCATAGACTCTAAGGGTGCTTGTGGATATGATCAAACCTCAAGTAGATTCGTCTGCTATTATATAGAAGGGCCACAAAACCCTACTAGAAACAAGGGTAAAATTTCCTACATGTTCTAATTTCCTAATGGTTCTTCCACAAGAATAACCACTAGTCCCTTCCTTAAATCTCCCTTTCATCGACCTTTTGACTGGATCATCTACAGAAATTTCTTTTAGCTTCTGATAACTATAGTTTAAGTTTTTCATTTCTAGTAACATTCAAAGTTCTGTATTTAGTTCGAACTAACCTTTTTTCTGATGCCATTCCATAGATGTCTCTAAAGGAGCAATAGCAGGTGCTTCACCTTTCTCCTACTTTGATTACCCCGTTGTCGTATTATTAAAACCATTTTTAACAATATTTCTGTCTTTAGGCATTGGGGCTGCATCCTTTGCAATATTGGGCGTCATTTTTGTAGTCACATGTTTGTCCTGTCTCATCAGGCGGCGAAGGAAGACATCAGATGATCTGAAAAGGAAGATATCGAATGATCTGAGAAGGACGACATCAGATGATTCGAGACAACACTATCTAAAGGCCCTTATTCCATTGAAACACTATAGCTACGTGCAAGTGGAGAGAATTACAAATTCATTCGCCGAAGTGATTGGAAAAGGCGGATTTGGAACTGTTTATAGAGGAACGCTTTGTGACGGTCGTAGTGTTGCTGTGAAGATCTTGAAAGAGTCACAGGGTAATGGGGAAGACTTCATCAATGAAGTTGCGAGCATGAGCAAAACTTCTCATGTCAACATTGTTACCCTGCTTGGATTCTGCTCTGAAGGGTCCAAGAGAGCAATTATCTACGAATTTATGGAAAATGGCTCCCTTGATAAGTTCATCTCTAGCAAGAGGTCATCAAATATGAACTCGCGAGAACTATATAGAATTGCGCTAGGCGTCGCTCGTGGTCTAGAGTACTTGCACCATGGCTGCAGAACAAGAATTGTACATTTCGACATAAAACCACAGAATGTACTCTTAGATGACAATCTTTGCCCCAAAGTTTCAGACTTTGGCCTTGCTAGGCTCTGCGAGAAGAAAGAGAGTATTTTATCATTGCTAGATACAAGAGGTACAATAGGGTACATTGCACCTGAATTGTTTTCAAGAATGTACGGTAGAGTTTCCCACAAGTCGGATGTGTATAGCTATGGAATGTTGGTTCTTGAAATGATAGGAGCAAGGAACAAACCATCAACTGAAGACTCTGCATCGAACCCAAGCTCAATATACTTTCCAGAATGGATATATAAAGATCTTGAGAAGGGAGACAATGGAAGGCTTATCAAGAACGACATCAACAGCGAAGAAGATGAGATAGCAAAGAAGATGACATTGGTGGGTTTATGGTGTATTCAGTCATCCCCATCAGATCGTCCACCAATGGACAGAGTAGTAGAGATGATGGAAGGGAACCTAAATGCTCTTGAAGTCCCTCCTAGGCCTGGTTTTCAAATTCCCGCAGCGCCTGTTCAAGAATCTTCTACGATGTCAGAGGATATCTCTGCTTATACAGGAGTATGTTCTATAAATGTCGCATAAAGAAAGAGAACCTCTCTGGAACCTATACATCTTTAGAGCTTTCTTTGACATGAACAATAAACAATTGTGGCATCACAGCCAAAGATGAGATCAATAATTTTGAGTCATCTGCAAATTAATAACTGTTTTATAGCTTTGAACCATTGTATATTTGTGTCACCAGATTATAGATGATTATCTAGAACTTCTCACTCTTAGACTTTTTCATGGAAGGACTTCAGTGATTTGTATTCTGAAACTTAAAGCTAAATATGGTCTTGTCTAAAAATGCATCTCTAGGTATAACACAGATGATTGTACGGAAGAGCAGTGTTTGAACTTGACAAGCACTCAACTTATCAAATGCAACAACCTCACCCAGTACACATTACACTATAACAACAACAAGAAAAAAATATTGTGTCAGTACCCAAATGACAAAGCATGAATTTAAATCTCACAATTCTATAGAAACAGAGAAGAAGGTATTAGCAAATAAACGCGTTAAGGGGATTAAAGAAATGGAAGTATGAACATATAAACCAAAAATATGTTTTGTTGCTCAAACATGCATATTTTTAAACGCCTAATTTAGTTTGAAGAAAGACTTATGTTGACTTATCAATTTATTGACATTTCCAGTCTCCTAAATCATCATTAAGCTCTAGGAAAATGAAGACAAAAATGGTATAGCTTTACCCGAAAGTCCCTTTCATTTCCATTGAAGATTTAATTCCATAATTTACTAAAGAGAACCAAAACTGCACTGGAGATATATCTCTGTTTCCAAGAAAAACCTATGAGAATGTATCAAAAATATTCACAGAAAAAAAAGGACAAAGCCACACTACCATTATTACCTTTTATTTGTGAATGAGCTAACACATTTAACTACTTCATCTGCAGTTCAGCGATTTGTATTCAGAAATTTCAAAATAAATATAAATGTTTTTGTCTAAAAATACATCTATGGGCAAAACAACAAGAAGATGATTGATTTCTCAGTACATAGATGACAATGCATGAAACCTAATTACATGGTATGGGTTTACCGCAAGTCCCTCTCACTCCCACTGAAGATATGATTACATTTTTTTTTTTTTTTGATAAACCCTATTGGCTGATCCGGTTGGCCTCGGTAGGAACGCACCGAGGTGCTACAGAGTGGACTTCTCCCGATCCAGGTAGAATTGGGCCACCACACTGCCTGATCCGAGTTTGGAATACCTTCCGACTAATGCCAGGGGGTAGTCAGGCCGTCTGCATTTCTGACTACCAGGTAAACCAATTGGGCCAAGGCCCAACTGACAGACTTCCCAAACAAATGTGTTTTTGTTTCCAGGGAGAATCGAACTCGGGTCTGGGAGCTTCACCCTTCACCAAAGCTTCCTCTGCCACTAGACCACAGAGGCTTGGGCAGAAGATATGATTACATGATTTTCCAAAGAAGAAAATAAATTCCAAGAATATGTTTTGGAGAAAGGAGGAACACAACACGCAAGACACAACGACCAATATCTCAATTTAGTTTTTCAGAGTCAACTAGTAAAGACAAGTAATAAAAAAAGACTCCAAATCTCTCTGTATCGGTCACTATCCTTTCTTGGTGGTCCTTCACAACCTTCACCGTGTCCACTTCCTCTTTATCAATTTCTCTCTTTTTGTTTGCTCTCAACACAAGAAACACTGTTGATAGATCCCAAACAAAACATGTATTATCTCTCTACGTCTTGTCTGGTTTTGTTCTTCCTCTTCTCCTTATTTTACCGTCGTCCTTGGGCTTCAAGTAATAGTGTTTTTGCATTTGATAACTTTAAGTTTTGGTTTGAAGGAAAATACAGCAAAGGTGGAGGAGATGGTTCTATTGGGCAACACATGTAGCTTGGACATTGTACAGACTCATTCCATCTCGAGTCAAAGACAAAGATTTGAACTTTGCCAGATCTTGGGATGGTGCACATCACTGGAGTTGAAGACATGAGTCTCAAAACGTTTCTCAAATAAGGATTCGGATTCGAACACGACTTCTTACCAGTTGTAGCTGTTGTCCACATCGCTTGGATCATGCTATTTGTACTAGTACAGTATGCTAAAAACTGATATGTTTTGAAATATCAATTAATATCAATTAATATGAGTATAACTTAAGTGTGAACATAAGTGTTTGACTGATCAAATTATTGACTTTTCCAATCTCTTATATTCTATTTTGTCGGCTCTGGAGAACTGATGCAAATAAGAATTAGGAGATTAGAAGATGGGATGGTATAGCTTTTATGTAACGGCAAGTCCCTCTCATTTCCACCTAAAACTAAATACATTTATTATATATATATATTAAAGCATGAACTCTCGAAATGTCTCTTTAATCACAAAGTTTCTGTTGACCTGTCTGAAAATAGCTAAGTTTTCGTTGACCTGGCCAAATTAGGCATCGCGTTAAGTCCCCGTTAGAACAACGCTAACGCTGTTAACAATCCGTTAGATTCTCCGTTCGATCAAAACGACGTCGTTTCACCAGAAAATAAGAAGAAAAAATGACATCTTCAAAGATTCGAACTGCTGACATGTTACACTAATAAGAAACACTCAACCATTGGGCTACGCGAACATTATAATGTTATAACAAAAAGAACATATATATATACTAAAAGTAACATTATACAATTAATTAAAAATAACAAAACTAAAAAATAATAATAACCAAAAATAGAAATATTAAATATACTTATCATAGTATATGTATCAAAATCTCAAATATTATTTTATACATAAAGATTTCTTCCATATTTGGAACATTATTCCTTCCGAAATTCCTTCTCATATAAATTTTTTTAAATATATGACATAAAATTAATCATATAATTATATGAGAAGGATTGTATAAATTTTAGGTCATATATTTAATCTTCTTTATTTAATAAGTTTAAGTTTTTATAATTTAGGAAAGAATAATTTTCCAAAATAGAATAAAATCTTTATATATATAATTTTGAAATATATATTTAAGGTAAGTATATTTAATATTTCCATATGTTTGGCTATTAATTTTTTTTAATTTTGTTATTTTAAATTAGTTGCATATATTTTTACCTAATTTATGTTACCAGTTTTTAGTATATATACACGTTCTGTTTGTTATAACATTAAAATATTCTTGTAGCTCAATGGTTGAGTATCTCTTATTAGTGTAATAGGTCAGCAGATCGAGTCTTTGAAGATGCCATTTTCCTTCTAATTTTTTGGTGAAACAACGTCGTTTGAAAACTTCAAAACGATGTCGTTTTGATCGAACGGAGAATCTAACGAATTGTTAACAGCGTGAGCGTCGTTCTAACAGAGATTTAACGCGATGCCTAATTTGGCCAGGTCAACGAAAAATTAGCTATTTTCAGACAGGTCAACAAAAACTTTGTGATTAAAGAGACATTTCGAGAGTTCATGATTTAATCGTCCCAAATTTGAAAGTTGGCGCATTTTTCGACATTTTTCCCAATTTAAATTGGCTAAATATATATGTTTTAAAAACATGTTTCATGATTTTTTTTGAAAAACTATATATTAATAAAGATTATTAACAGAAAAAACACATATTAACTCAAACGATGTATTCTCTGTGTTCTTTTATGTTTAATGGAAATGGCCGACAAAAAAAAAAAAAAAAAATCTCAAAAAAAAGAAACTCTCAAGTCTCTCTGTCTTTGCCACACTACTCCTCTTCTGACTTGGTCCTTCACGACCTTCACCTTTTCCACTAGCTCATTATGCCTCTCTCTCACTTGCTCTGGTCCAAAAACACAAACAAAACCCAAAAGACCCACTTTTCATAGATTCAAGAAATCATGTACTATCTTCCCAGTTCTTGTTTGGTCTTGTTCTTTCTCTTCTCCTTATTCCACCATCTTCCTTGTGTTTCAAGTAAACAAGAACTTGGATTGTGTGAAGCTCAGTTTCAGTGTGGGAACATCACCGTCGGTTTCCCCTTCTGGGGAGGGAATCGTCACAAAGATTGCGGTCATCCATTGCTGGAGCTTCGCTGCTCTAACAACATCAGCTCCTTAGCCATCTCAAACCATCTGTACCATGTTCTCCATATAGATCAAATATCTAACACTCTTAGACTTTCGAGCTCAGAGTTTCAAGGCACATTTTGCAACTCTACATTCACAGCCACAACCTTGCCTCCCCAAATCTTTGAGCTTTCACCGACCTTCAAGAACCTCACTGTTTTCTACCTCTGCGACCCTAAGCGTTCTTACCATTCAAGTTATACATGTTCTGGTTGGGGCCCTATCTCAGTTTCTGAAAACCTAGATTATCATAAGTCCTGCCTTGACAGTTTCACGATTAACGTTCCTAAGAGCTTTGTTCCAGAAGAGAAAGAGTTAAATTTGACACATATAGAAAGTGCTTTAAGAGAAGGGTTTGAGGTAAAGCTGAAGATTGACGAGAAAGCGTGTCAAGACTGTTCATCTCATGAAATCTGCGGCTTCAACAATACCACACAGGTTTTCTGCAAAGAAGTCTCATCATCAGCATGCAACTCACTCCATCCACCCAGCCCCGGCTCTAGACATGTGCTGGAGGTGCTACAGCACAAGGTCCATTCATTTTTCTTTTCTACAAAACATAAGAGAAAAATCCCTTTTTTTGCTTTCCAGCTCAGGGATCTCAAATTTATTGAGCCGGCCCTGCAGCCATCCACATACGGCGTAGCCGCACCTTCACCCGGTAAACTTTACAAATCCTTTAGTAATTATGAGCAAAATTATGAAATGACGGCTGTTAATTTCTTTTTACCAAGTGGTGATAATCATAGCTCACTTGGTTTCAGTGATTTCCTTGGGAGAGAGGTGGAGTCCTTGTTTCTAGGGTCGAGTCTCCTCCATTTTGGGAAGGGCTGGTTTACTCTTTAATAGTATTAATATTATTAACGTTTACCGATGGTTGGTCCTGTGCAAAAGAAACTATAGGATAAGGCCAAGTCCAGTGGGAGAACATTTTCTTAGTCTCTCAAATATATTAGTTCAATAATTTTTATATAATTTATTTTTTAATTTAAAATTTAAACTATAAATAAAACTCATAACCAGTTATATTTAAACATGTGTCATATGAGTCTCTCTATGAGTTCTCAAAATCTCTCAAATGAGAGACTCACTTTATTCTCTTCTTATTTTTTCAATATTTTATAATTTTGTATGGGTGAGAGACTCAATGAGAGACTCCCACTAAACATGCTCTAAAGTCCTGAAACTTCGATGTTAGAAAAAAGGAAAAAGTTTTTCGGTATTTAATACTTTTATCATTTTATAACATCTATTTCATTATTCTTTTCTAATACTCCTATTTGTTTAACTTTTTGAAAGATACATTCGTTTTCTAAAAATTTATATAAAGTATTGTTATTAATTTTTGAAGGTCTTTTGTGTTATTTAAAATAAATATAAATACAAATATTGTTCTTGCACCCGGGAAAAAAAAATCATCTGTCCGTACTAGATGAATAAAATATAAAATTGCTTTAGACCCCCCAATTCTTTTTTCTTTTTTTTTGACAAATATGATGTGTTGATTTAAATAATATAATGATATCAAAATAAACTACATAAATACGGTATTTAGTATTTATTTTCCATCTTGCCTTAGGCCCCATTGCTATGCCCGACTTTGATGTAGAAGTTGAATATGCTCCACTGTCTCCAGGGTCTTATGATGGTAAGCTTCTTAATACATCTTATACAGAAGTTTCAAGGTTCATTTTGCAACTCTACATTCACAGGCACAACCTTGCCTCCCCAAGTCTTTGACCTTTCACCGACCTTCAAGAACCTCACTGTTTTCTACCTCTGCGACCCTAAGCTTTCTTACCATTCAAGTTATACATGCCCTGGTAGAGGCCCTATCTCAGTTTCTGAAAACCTTGATTATCATAAGTCCTGCCTTGACAGTTTCAAGATTAACGTTCCTAAGAGCTTTGTTCCAGAAGAGAAAGAGTTAAATTTGACACATATAGAAAGTGCGTTAAGAGAAGGGTTTGAGGTAAAGCTGAAGATTGACGAGAAAGCGTGTCAAGACTGTTCATCTCATGAAATCTGCGGCTTCAACAATACCACACAGGTTTGCTGCAAAGAAGCCTCATCATCAGCATCCAACACACTCCATCCACCCAGCCCCGGCTCTAGACATGTGCTGGAGGTGCTACAGCACAAGGTCCATTCATTTTTCTTTTCTAAAAAACATAAGAGAAAAATCCCTTTTTTTTCTTTCCAGCTCAGGGATCTCAAATTTATTGAGCCGGCCCTGCAGCCATCCACATACGGCGTAGCGGCACCTTCACCCGGTAAACTTTACAAATCCTTTAGTAATTATGAGCAAAATTATGAAATGACCGCTGCTAATTTTTTTTTACCAAGTGGTGATAATCATAGCTCACTTGGTTTCAGTGATTTCCTTGGGAGAGAGGTTGAGTCCTTGTTTCTAGGGTCGAGTCTCCTCCATTTTGGGAAGGGATGGTTTACTCTTTAATAGTATTAATATTATTAACGTTTACCAATGGTTGGTCCTGTGCAAAAGAAACTATAGGATAAAGTCCCCAAACTTCCTTGTTAGAAAAAAGGAAAAAGTTTTTCTGTTTTTAATACTTTTATCATGCCTTAGGCCCCATTGCTATGCCCGACTTTGATGTAGAAGTTGAATATGCTCCACTGTCTCCAGGGTCTTATGATGGTAAGCTTCTTATACATCTTATACAGAAGTTGTGGTTTTTAATAAGCCTAAAACTATTCATTTTTGATGGATCTGTTGACTCTTTAATTTGCCTCATCTCATACTCTTTGTTTTACTAATAGTTTTCCTTTTTCCACACCATTTTTCTGCATAATCTTTAGGGAGCGAGGATGATAAACCTAGGATTCGCTTCTGGGTATTCCTACCAGTAGTTCTTCTTCTGATTCTGTTCGTGGTCATAATCTACGGACATATAAGGAAATCAAATGATATGGGTCAGCAGAACATTCCAAACCCAAAACTCATAGCACTTATTCCACTGAAGCAGTATAGTTACGAAGAACTGAGGAGGATTACAAATTCATTCGCGGAAGTAGTCGGGAGAGGAGGATTTGGAACTGTCTATAGAGGAATATTTTCTGATGGCCGTATGGTTGCAGTGAAGGTCTTGAAAGACTTGATGGGTAATAGTGGTGAAGACTTCATCAATGAAGTTGCAAGCATGAGCCAAACTTCTCATGTCAACATTGTTACCCTGTTAGGATTCTGCTATGAAGGTTACAAGAGAGCAATTATATACGAATTTATGGAAAATGGGTCTCTTGATAAGTTCCTCTCAAGCAAGAAGTCGTCAAATATAGATTGGAGAGAACTATATGGGATTGCGCTAGGCGTTGCTCGTGGTCTAGAGTACTTACATCATGGCTGCAGAACAAGAATTGTACATTTCGACATAAAACCACAGAATGTACTCTTAGATGACAATCTTTCCCCGAAAGTTTCAGACTTTGGCCTTGCTAAGCTTTGCGAAAGGAAAGAAAGCTTATTGTCCCTTCTAGACACAAGAGGAACGATAGGGTACATTGCACCCGAAGTGTTTTCAAGAGTTTACGGCAGCGTCTCCTACAAGTCAGATGTGTATAGCTATGGAATGTTGGTTCTCGAGATAATAGGAGCTAGGAACAAATCATCAACTGGCGATACTGTATCTAGCACAAGCTCAATGTACTTTCCTGAATGGATATATAGGGATCTTGAGAAAGCAGACAATGGAAAGCGTATCGAGAATGGAATCAGCAGCGAAGAAGATGAGATAGCAAAGAAGATGACGATGGTAGGTTTGTGGTGTATTCAGCCTTGGCCATCAGATCGCCCAACGATGAATAGAGTCGTAGAGATGATGGAAGGGAACCTGGATGCTCTTGGAGTCCCTCCTAAGCCTGTTTTCCAGCAAATCCCCACAGCAAATCTTCAAGAATCTTCTACCTTTTCAGAGGATAGCTCGGCATACACAGAAGACGGATGTTCCATAAATGTTGCATAAAGAAAGAAACCTCCTTGGAACCTATTAAAGCAAAAAAAAACAGCCACTAGATTTATTTATTTTTACAGCTTTTTACACAAAAGTATGATCCATGAGTGTCGCATTAAGAAAGTAACCTCTTTGGAACCTACTAAAGCATGAAAGCAGAAAAATACATTTATTCACGAAATGTAATATACTGTGTACATTCCAGATTGACCCATTGTGTCACCAGACTAGACCTTTTTTTATCTTTTGATTTCTAAACCTATCAACACTCTCATCTTGAATTTCTCAGGCTTATTACTTTCTTCTGAATTCTCCAGCCAACTGTGTAGACTCCTGAAAGTAACCCGTTTCAAACATATTAGCTATCTCGCTCTGTGGCAGCTTGCTCTGCTTGTTTGTTGCCAAGCGATACAACAAATTTCTTCAGATGTCTGATGAAATCTGGATAGAGTTCAAGGTCACAGTGTCCACCTCCACTTATCCACAAAGGTTCATACTTCTCTTTGCTTAGTTCCCAGAGCCGTTTTCCGTGAGACCAATCAACTACTTCATCCGCAGTTCCCTAAAAGACCAACAAGAGAGTTCGGTGACCTGTCTTATAACGATAACACTCATAATGAAACGAGAAGCAAAATAAAGCCAAAGCAATGCAAGAAGTGAAATGATTGTGTTACTTACATGGATTACTAATACAGGACAAGTAACTGAGCCGATCTTGTCAATATTCTGAAAAGAATGGAGTTGCGTCATTTAGAAGCTATAAATGTAATCAGAAGCAAAATTTGATGTTCAGTAACTCACCTTGTAAATATCAAACCAATATGTACATTTCACCGGATACAAAACCCTCATCCCAGACAGAATCGGGCACTGTAAAACCACGCCTCGCAAGTTAGGTGTGCGCGAAGCTAGATCAACCGTAGGTCCACTACCGACAGATTGACCATATAATATCAGTTGATCCTCTTTTACACCATACTTTTCCTTAAGGCACTTATACGACGCCTCTATATCAGCATATGTATTACACTCACTTGCCTGATTCAAAAAACCAACTCTATACCAATAAGAAACAATCCATGGAAAAGTCTACGAAAGCTCATATTTCATAACACAGAGTAGTAATCTCAGAACTATACCTGTCCAGTAGACTGACCATAACCAGAGTAATCATACCTAAGAAAGAAAAACCAATGAACACATAAGATAGCAAGAAAAGTATAAACCTTTAAATGAAAATGAATCAAGACCCAAACTTTGAAACTATAACACACTGATTTTTACATAAATTCTCAAAAGCTAAATTTTTTTTGTCATCCGAAATCTCAAAAGCTAAATCCTTTACTCAAAAACCAAAAACTCCAACAATTCATTACATATCTATAACAATGTATCAACAGATCCTAGTTTTGGGCAAATCATAAACAAAGAAAAGTCCTAATCTTTGAAGCTATAAAGCACTAATCTTTAACAAAGCAAAGAAAAAGAACTAATCTTTCTACAAAAATGAACCAACTTTGAAGCTATAAAGCACAAATTTTTCCCAATTTCAATCAGATAAATCCTTTACCCCATAAGATTGACGCGAAGGCGATTGCTAAGCTCAACGAAAAGCTCAAACATTTGACCCAAATCAGCAGCGTTACCATGAGAATACAAAAGCGTTCCATTAGCTTTTGAATGTTTCACATAAACAGCTACGATCTCGTTACCATAACGTGTACGTAGCTTTAAGATATCAACATCATCGCGACGAGGAATCTCCGGTATGTATAAACGTCCGCCGCAGCTATCGTCGGCTATAACCTCGTAAGACGGTGGCGTTGGTGGAAAGAAAGCGAATTTTGCAGCGATCGATGATGTTACGCCTCCCATGATGAATTCTAATTCATAAATTAGACCCCTTTTGATTGGAGGAGATTGAGAGGAGGAGGTTGATGGAGGATTTGAGATTGGACCGCGGCGCGTGAGAGATTAGAGGGCGGCGCGTGGTGGGATGATTGGGGAAATGTGGGAAGGTTGAGAATATCTGTTTTTGTCAAAAGGTTTTAAAAGTCAAAATTAGGAAATTATATTATTGGTGGATGGAGATTCCCCATGCTGCTATTGTTTTACTTATTTTATCGTTAAAAAAGAAAAGAAAAATATGACAATAATAAATTCTTTTAATTAATAATAAGTTGGTGATTTTAGATGAATTTTTAAGTCAATGAATGAGATGATTGGTTGTATGTAAGCAAAAGAAGATTTAAGAATTTTAAATGTGATATTTTGGAAAATTATTAAACAGAAAAAGATTGGATATATTGTTGGCAAAATAATAAATAGTAAAATACTTTTTTGGTAAATCAGTGGAAAGTAAAGTATTCAAATCTTTTTCTTAACATAAAAGTATTCATATGTTTACTGAAAATTTAGTATTTTTTTTAATGTACGATAGTTTTTTGAAAAATAATTCAAGGCAAATTAGATTTGTAAATTAATAGAAAATAGAGTATTCGACGTGAAAAAAAAAATTATATATAATAATAAACCCAATTTTTTGTGTTGCTGAAGTCATTCTTTTAAGACTATATGAGACCATTTCTCTTCTTTTAATTCAAAGGATGAGACTGTTTTGTTTTCTCATCGAAAGGATTAAATTTTTGATAAATGTCATTAATTTATCAAATAAATGAAAAGGCACTTCTCTTTGCTTGCTTCCCCCAAATAGTCGCTTCTCTTTCTTTTGCTTCTCAATGTGTAAGATTTCTATCTATATTTTTTTTGAATGTTCGATTAGATGTTGAACCGAAACTGATGATGATGTTGGCATTGCTTTAATCAAGTGTGATGTCAAAATATAGTTGTTTATGAAATTTTGACTACAATGTTTCTCTCTTAGACCTTTTAATTACCTGTTGTAATTTTTCTTCTCCATTTTTACATAATTTCAGAGAATAACTCCAATTTTCAGTTTATATTTAAAATTAAGTTTATATAAAATTGGATTAGTAAGCTATGTTAAATTTGAGATATTCAAATAGTATAACTATAATATAATTTCTAATGAAGTTTAAGGAGAAAGTGAATTTTAATAGGCAAATCTTAAGAAACTAACATATACGCTTTCTTAAAATGTCAAACAATTTTGTATATAATTTATCTCGATTTACATCAAAAAAATTCACATAAGTTGTAGTAATATATTGTACATGATTCTAGATCTTTACAATTTAAATAGACTAAGGAATTTTCATGCATGCAAACAGACAATTATTTTAGATTTGAGGAGGCCGCGCGTGCATTTTCACAGAAAGTAAATGTATTTATGAATTTAAATGTAGTGCATATTGCATTTTTTATGTCGATAAGCATTTTTTTCTTTGGAAATGTTGATGAATCACATAATTATCGTTCAAATTTAAGTGTACGTAGAAAAAAAATTGAATCAACGTAAGACTTAATAACTAGACTAGGGGGATATGAGTAAAAAGGGCTTCTATTGTGGCGGTGGTATGGTTCAGTTTTTTTGAATGAATATTTTGTTTTGGTTAAGATCGAATAGGATTGGTTTTTTTTGGGTTGAACTCCTCTAGCACAAAAATTTAATGATTTTACCTTTAACCAAAAAAATAAATTAATTAATGATTTTATAGTGAGTATGTAATTTTCATTTTGATTTCTTTTTTGATATCAATTTTGAAATCAGATAAAATTTATACCATATACCTAATTATAAACAAAAAAATTTATTATTGAATTATAAAATTAAATCTTGCATTTAACTTAAGATATTAATTGATCATAATGATAATATATCTAATAATTTGTCTTTGACCATATTCACAAGTGTCGGACTCTTTTTAAAAATTTAAGTCCTCATTTATGATCATTAACTGTAAATATTTACATTTTATAAATGTAAATAAATTTTTGCCAAAAATAAAAAACTTTGACAAATAAAAGTGGATCATCAATTAATCATGATAAAATAAATTTGAAGACCAATTATATAAATAGAGCCAATCATTAAGACTTGAAAAAAATAAAAACATTTGAATACCTCAATACAATCCATTGAAATAATTACTATGGGTGGTATGAAAACTTTGGTGACTTGTTTCCTTGTAATAATACTTGTAGTTTCGTTGTCTAACAACAACGTTTTGGCTTCAGGTAAATTTAAGATTTGATTTAGTTATTATGAAAATTAGTAGTGATCATTTCAAAAGCTATATTTAAATATGTAGAATTCGTAATGACTATGTTTTTGTTTCTATGATATATATAGACATGCATTTTAAAATTTTGTTAAAATTCTATTATTTGGACATGTTATATAACTATCTTTTTATTGAAAGGTTATATAAGATTTAAACATATTTGTATCGGTTATGTTTAATATATATATGGACTTGTGTAGATGCAGGGATCGAAGATTTCTCATTCGACAACTGTAATACTAAGTGTTACGGAAGTGATGAATGTAATAACTACTGTATTAGAGCTGGATTTAAAAATGGTGGACAATGTGGTTCTGCTTGTATTCCATGTCCTGTAAAATGTTGTTGCCAAAAGTAATACAAACTTATATAATCTTTCTCAAAATTGATGATTCTAGCGTTGAATTTATTTTCTTTAAGTTGTTGGACTTAATTTGTATCTCTTTTTTACAAATAAATACCATGAAATAAGAAAACTATTTATTGCAATAAGTAATTTAAACAAAAAATCTATATTACAAAATGTATTCTAAATACGTAAATAGCATAATAATGATGGACTTCATCACACCTCTGTTTATAACTTCTCACTAACAATAACTCATTATTATCATATTATTATAGTTGTATATTTTTGAAGATGGAGAAATTTAGTTGACGTTTACAATTAAGATAAAAAACTAAAAAAATATTATTTATAAACTTAATTATTAGTTGGTGACTTTAAATCAATAACTAGGAGCGGATATGTTCTATACTTGTTGACATCTAGTATTATTACAAATATTTAATAATTGTTATAGTTTAAAAAGGTGAATACCTAATCATACATATAAAAGTAGGGTTTCACTCTCCCATGATTGGTCCACTTGGCAATTCACTTTTTCAAAAAAAATTATAATAATATTTATGTCTTACTAAACCACAAATACAACACATTTATTCATATACATTAATCTACCATTTAATACCAAATTGTAACCATCATACAAATGGTGTATTAATTGTATTTCCCCACTCAATGTCATTCAAACACACTATAAATTCAAATTGTAACTCCTATGATTTAATCACTATCAAAATGTAACTTTCATCACTTTCTATACTATAAATAATCATTCTCACATCTTCTTCCACCATATCTCAAATCCTAAATATTTTCTTTGTTTTTGTGTTGTTGCATGAGTTGAAAAATCAATTGAGACATCATTGTAAAGGTTTGATTATAAATTTTGTTTTTAGAGACTATAAGGTATATATTTTACATTGTTTTCAATTTTATTTTTATTCTAATGTCTTACTTGAATATACTTATTCTTTCTTTAATTTTCATATTTTTAGTTCAAAACTACAAATGTATAATAATAAATTTGATGGCTATAATTTCTGATCTTAATTCAAAATTACATACTTTGCAGATTTAACAATGAAGTTTTCAAATATCAATTCAACCATTGCACAAGAAGAAAATCAAGTTGAGAAGATTCATCTCTATTTTCTACAATAAATAAATTATTGTAATATCAAATAATATTTTTGTTAAATTTCTTACATACTTCTTTCTTATCTCAAATAATGTTTTATATTATTTTTAATATACTCATCAGATTAATTTTTGTGATCCAATAAATAATTATATAAAAATCATTAACTAAAATGTTTATTCTCTTCAAAGCTTGTGGTTTAAGTTAATTTCTAAAATAAAAGAATTTATTTACAAAAATTTATAATCCAACCTAGCAATTTAAATCATATAAATATTTAAATTGAGTTGAATATAAAAAATATTTAACATAAATATCTTAATGTTGTATAATTAAAATAAATAATAGTGTAACAACATTTTTTGTATATCTAGAAAATACATTATATGACTTTCACTCTCTGGTTTTTAATATTTTCAAATGTTTAATATTATGATATAATACTATCTATTATTAACTCACATTTAAATTTATACGTAATTTGCATACAAAATAATTATAAGAACATCAAAACCCCACTAAAATACATTTATTACTTGACTAAAATCATTGACCATAATTTTTAATTTGAATGGTTTTCCTACTAATTTTACAAAAAACTGTAACTCCCTAAATGTATTTATTTTCTAAAAATAACTTCCAACACTCATCATCCTACAAATAATCTTTCTTTCATTTTCCTCCACCAATATCTCAAAAATTTAATATATGCATAATGATCTAAAATATATATATATTATATATTTATTCAAGGTTTGTGGTTAATAATATCATTATTATTTTAATTTTAATTAAAACGGTTCAATAATCTTAATTAGTAGTAAAAGTTTTATAAAGGTGAAATATCTAAAATAAATTTTATCAATATAATTTGAATTGCGTGGGATAATGAGAAAGAAAGAAAATAGTTTAAAATTATTCTCCAAATATTATATATATATATATATATATATATATATATATATATATATATATAGTTTTTACTCAAAAATTATTTAACTTTTTATTATTGTAAATCAATCAAACGAGTTTTACATGAACAAACGAACAAAAAGTTTAAATACCATATTAATAGATATATGTAATTTTATTCCTATTTATAATTAAATTTAGTCGAATCATTTGATTGTTACACTACTATTAAAATCTATACAAAAACAATAATAAGTCACGCGTAGCGTGGCTACATATACCTAGTATAGTGTGAAAATAAAACATTCTAGCCATCAACACTACCGGAATCTGACGAAGCTGATCGCCTCCGACATTGCTCTCCGCATCCAAAGCCTCAACTACGACCCGCAACACAAGAACGCTCCTCTCTTGGCCCGTTGGTCCTCTCTTTGCAGCTCCATCGCGTGGACTGCATTTGTTTAGCCACTGTTTTTTCCAATTTTTTTGTAAAGTTTGATATGGTCCCATAACAAGCTCCAAATCAAACCCAGCCATACCGAACTCTTTGTACATATTTTTTCTTTTTGTTGATTAATAAATTTAACATTTCAACAAAAAAAAAAACATTTTAGTTACAATTTTGAATTAGTTAATATTTGAAATAGTTTAATTTGTGAATCAAAAAAATTGTTTTATACATATAATTTCATACAATTTTAATTTTGGATGAAAATGTGGAGTTTTCTAGACTAGTATATAAAATAGAAAAACATGCATATAAGGCCTCACTTCTAGCCCAGACAACTAAGTTTACGGCCCAAGAACAATTTCCAATTTTGGTAAATTAATAAAAAGTAAAGTATTCACATCTTTTTCTTAACATAAAAGTAGTCATATGGTTACTGAAATTTTAGATATTTTTTTTTAAATGTACAATATTTTTTTTGAAAAATACTTCAAGGCAAATTAGGTTTGTAAATTAATAGAAAGTAATGTATTCGACGTCAAAATAAAATAAGATAACTAATAATAACAAATGTAAAATTTTCCATGAATTTTCACAAGTTTATCTCCACAAATCACAAATGCGAACATTGAATATTTTGAGAAATAAGTCATATCGACATATCGTGGTGTTTTTTTTTTTTTTTTTTTTAACATCTTATTTTACTTTATTAATATGGAAACAAAGATTACATAATTGTCTTTAGGGCATACACTTACAACCAAAAAATGATTAAAACATAAGAAGAAGAAAATACAATCGAACAAGTGAAGTAAACGCCGCTTTGTTTGATAAGCCTTACACGTCAATAGATTATGAAATCTATCATCTTCCTTCTTCGTTTTCTTCTTTAATCCGATATGATCGTCTCGTTTGAAAAATGAAAATGTTATCCGATCATCAATTGAAGTAGAATATCGTTCATTATCAAACACAACATCATGAAGTCAAATGAGTATGTTCTCTACTAACCAAATTTGGTATCAATCATCCAAATAACATGTTATCCACTATGAAAAGTTGACAACGAATAACCCATTTACATCTTCACAAATCTAGTGCTTCATTCACGGATGAAACATGTTGTTATAAATGGCGTAACACCGACAACATAAAATTGGTTTACCTAGTAAATAGTCACACCAAGCCACTAAATCCACATTGGTTCACTCTCATAGACGACAAGATTAGAATTTCACAAATTCCTATTTTTAATAGTATATATTTATATATGTAAATGAAAATTTGATAATCCTATATCAACTCCTCATATTCTTCTCAATTACTTTACAAATATTTGTTCTCTTCTATGCAAAACATCATTCTCAATAATACAAATAAGACTAGTTCATATAAAGCCATTGGTTTTTTTAGTCAAAATGCCTATGATGATTTCTTACACAAATACAAAAAATTATAGCAATTTTAACTAGGGGTAGGCGTTTGGGTACCCGTTAGGGTTTGGGTCTTTCGGATTTTCGAGTTTTCGGGTTTAGAAGTATAGGACCCGTTCGGGTATTTCTAGATTTCGGATTTGGATCGGATATTTCGGATTCAGATTCGGATTACCCGAAGTTTCCAAAAGTCAAAATTTTTTTAACCAAATCTATTCAAATTACTCGATAATATGCAAAATATCTAAAAACCTTGAACACTTTTTATTCAAATCTAATCAAAAGTAGATTAATTATCCAAAAATATCCAAAATATCAAAAATCCGAATATTTTGGATTATGAAGTTATTACAAATATAAATATTAATCATATATTATTACTATGTATTTAAATTGTGGATATGTTCAGGTACCTGTTCGGGTTCGAGTTCGGTTCGGCTTCGGTTTTGAGTTCGGATTTGAAAGTCTAGAACCAGTTCGGATATTTTAAATTCCGGGTTCTGGTTCGGATATTATGCCTACCCCTAATTTTAACCAAAAACTTGCAATAACATAATTTTTACTTCAAGGAATATACATATACTAATCACAACCAAATTCCAAAAAAAACAAATCAGAATTGGATTAAACTCTTAAGAAAAACAAATTACCTATGAATCAAAATTTAAACATCGAAAAATGTTAATATAATTTATTTGTTTCAGAGTTTTTATTGTTCAGGAATAGTTACAAGTACAGGACGCCAAGATCGTCGAAGTAACCTACACCGAAGTGTAAAAGACGACATGGGCCTAACAGACCCATTAAAGCCCACACGCCGACCCGTTATCTCTTCACCAAAACCTCCGTTATTACTAACACCGTTAACCGGTACATCCCTCTCCATCTCCACCTCCACCTCCATCTTCTTCACCCCCTTCTCACCACCGCCGCCGCCACTTACCTCAAACGGAGGCGACGAAACAAAAAGCTCTCTAAGCTTCCGACGAGATCTGATCTTATCTCTCTTAACCGATTTCTTCGATTCATCTACGTTGTTCTGAATCTCAGGTAATCTCCATCGATCTGATGATCGTGTGAGTAACAAACGCAGCGTTTTACGACGGCGGAGGTGGATGACTGGACTACGCGTTGGACTCTCCGCGACGGTGCTGCAATGAGTTGCGAGAAGCTTGAACTTTTGCAAGGACATTTGATTTTTGTGTTTATTGATTTAGCAGAGACATTGATTTTGTTACGATTTGGGTGATTTGATTCTTTGCTTGGTGTGAGAAGTGAATGATAGTGGAGGGTTAAAGGAATAAGGTGGTGACTAGGATTGGCACCATTCTAGAAGAAGATAGGTTACACGTGGCTTGTTAGAATGAGTGTCGTATACTTTTCGTTGATAATATTTAAGATGCCAGCGAATTTTTCTTTTTGTATTTATATAGTATATAGTTTTGAAACCATAATGACTGATTGTTCTAAAAATATTAAAATAGTGTGTATGTAGAAGATTTAAAAAAAAAAACTAGTGTGCAAGAGATAAGTTCAATTTTGTGTTTATTTAAAGAAGGATTTAGTCTTCATTCTCTTTCTGATTCTCAAAGAATGAGGGACAAAGAGATTGATTGAGAATTGTTTGTCCTTTCGTAACTAAGTCTCTTCACTCTGTGTCCAAACTTTGTGATGATTTATCCATGTTTTTTTAATGATCGGAAAACACATTTCTCCTCTATTTTTCTTTTCTAATTTTTGATTTCGAGTTTAAGTGTTTCATCTCTTTTGAATTGAGTGTACAATTCAATTAAGAGCAGAGTGAATCGTGGAGACAGCACTCTTGGTTATCTTACTCCGAGATTAAATGGTTTTTCGTTCAACTGCCGTAAATGCTATATGGCTCTGCCATTTTGTTCTTTGACAATTTGATTTTTAGATTTATTTCCAACAAGAATTCGTAAATCATGAAAAAGAAAGCTAATGTTTGTTCTTCTTTGATAGACATGTTCAGAAAAAAGAGTGTGAAACTTCGAGGGAAGATGCAGAAAAGTCAAGAGATTTAAGAAAAATATTTTTTATATAGAGACAATCCCAAATTAATTTTATTTGGACTATCAACCTGACCAATTGGTCCAATTTCCTTTTGATCGCAGACTATTTTGGTGTTAGACCACATTGACCATTTAGATTATGACTATGTATGTGGTCAACCGGAAACAATATGGACTATGCGTAATAGCCGGCCTAATTAAAGTTCTTTAACACAATGTAAAAAAATAAAAGTATTGATGTACGTACGGGATTTTTTTTTTTCCATCAAACACCATTTCTATTAAATTATCGAAAATAGACTCTCTGCTGGAAAGAGCCAATCAGGAACCGACTTGCTTACATGAGAGAAAAGACTATTTCGAGTCCTATCATTTTTGGTTAAACAATCTGCTCGAGTATTAGAACATCAAGGAATAAATCTAATGTTAAAAGAAGGAAAAAAACAAATGAGGGACAGGAAAGAAGCTATTTCTAGTTTTCTACTGTAAAAGTTGGCCATTCGTCTTAATTATCGAAGAGGGATATCATGTCGGAGCAGTCAGATGCGAACACGCCAGAGATATCGCCTAACAAGATCATGCATTCCATTGCCCAAAACAAGGAGTCAACTTTCGCTTAGAGCGGTAAGAGAATTATAGCACCTCATAGCCAGATTTCACCATCCACAAAATTTGGAGAAATTCCAACAATATAGTTTCATGTTTTTAGTGTATCATTGATTCATTTCAATAAATCCATGTTGGTGTTGTAACTTGTAAGATAGGCTAACATTCTCAACGTAGTAAAAGGTTACGGATCGTTACACATTTGCACACTTATGACATAGTGAGTAACATGTACATCGATCTCTAGTAATAGTAATGTCATTTTAATTGGTACCCAAAAATAGAAGTCCATTTAAAAACAGTCTCGCCAAAACAAAACAATAATAAATTTTACAAAAAAAAAAAAAAACACTTACAGTGATGTCACCAACGAACCCTAATTACAAACTCGCCGCCGTATCAGAACTACTCGTCCACTTATCAGTCTCCGGCGAAATCGGCGGCGGAACACTATTCCTCAACAATCCAACATCATCACCACCACATTCAATATCCACAACATCCGGCGACTTCTCTTCCTCCTTAACCCCTCTCAAAATCTCCACAATCTCATCCATCGAAGGTCTAACTTCTCTCTCTTGTTGCAAACATCGAAACGCTAATTCCGCCACCGACATCATCTTCCTCCTAACTTCAGGATCATTATCAAATCCTAAACTCGAATCTACAAGCTCGTGTAATGCATTGTTCTGGATTTTGGATACAGCCATGTTCGCTAGGTTGATATCGTGACGGTGACGAGTGATGTCTACTGCTTCTTTTGATGAGATTAGTTCGCTTAATACGACTCCGAAGCTATAGACGTCGCTCTTCTCGTTTAAACTGTAGCATTGGTAATACTCTGGGTCTACGTAGCCTGGTGTGCCTTGTGGTGCTGTTGATATGTGTGTTTGATCCATTGGAAACAACCGCGAAAGTCCGAAATCGGCGACTTTGACTTGGTAGTTATCGTCTAAGAGAATGTTAGTAGTTTTGACATCTCTGTGTATGATTTCTGTAAAACAGAGGAATCACATTGTGAGATTTGTGAAATTCTGCGAATTCGGATGTTTGTTTTGGTTATTATCTTTGTTTACCTGATTTGTGGAGGTAGTATAATGCACTTGCGGTTTCGATTGCGATGTTTAATCGGGTTGACCAGCAGAGAGGACGAGCTTCTGCGCGGTGGCCGTGGAGATGTTCGGCTAGAGTTCCGTTTGAGATGTACTCGTAGACGAGTAGAAGTTCTCTGCTGTGTCGCGATGTGCATCCGTAGAGGATCACGAGATTCGGATGTTTTAGGGACTTCAAGATTTCGATTTCGTTCTTGAATTGTTCGACGCGTTTTAGTGATCTTTCGTAGAGGCGTTTCACTGCTACAGCTCGTCCGTCTTTCAACACGCCTTTAGAGAGTTGTGAAAGCTGTTAAAAGTCAATACTCAAAGGTTTCAAGGAGATTGAAATGTATTGTCGAGTTGCTTACCGTAGTAGACAGTACCGAAGCCACCATCTCCGAGTTCTCTAGAGAAATTCTCAGTTGCTTCTTCAAGTTCTTCATAGCTGAAGACTTGAACTCCATAGTAGTCGCTTCCGTTTGCGAGGTTTGAGATTGAGGGAAGAAGAGAGTGGTTGCTACTGGAGGAGATTGTTGTGGAAGTTGGATTTCTTGATGTTTCTCTACTCGAATATGATGTTATTGGCAAGCTTTTGCTTGTGTATTCAGCGTCCTGAGTCTTTCTTCTCCGTCTGATGCATAAGAACACACCTGCGACTATAAGAATGGCCAACCCCAATACAAAAGCTCCAGCCGCAATGCCTAGAGACGAGAACAAAAAAACAAATTTTAGAATAAGTCTATGCTGTTGCCTATTGTTGTATATGGTAATCAAATTGGATGTCGCAAAAGAACGGAAAAGGGGAAGCACCTGCTTTCTCTCCAGTAGAGAGGCCTGCAGCTATGGAATGGCATCAGAAAAAGGTCAGTTTGAACTGAATACAAAACTTTGAATCTTACTAGAAACTTTATAATGTTATCAGAAACTATAAGGATTTTATTAGATGGTCCGATCAATAGGTGGGTGGGTAGAGAGATTTGGGAAATGGACTAGTGCTGGTGGTTTATTGTGGAAGAATATTAGGAAGTTAGAACATGTAGGCAAAAAATCTTACCCTTTTTTTTAGAACCGCAAGTATGGTTACTTGACTTGTCTATACAATAGCAGACGAATCCGCTTGAGGTCCGTGTCTGATCATATCCACAAGCACCCCCTGACTCCATGCACATTGGACAATCTTGGTTAAGTTGTAGCTGGAAACCCTCTTTAAGAGCATTCTTCAGATTATCTTCAGTCGGAAGGTTCTGAAGTGCGTCTAACGCCGAACCAGATGCGGGAATACTAACGTATCTTTGGCACAATCTCCTGAAGTTGCTTAAAAGGTCATTAACCCCGCTAAGTAAAGGGGATGAGAGATTTCTCGTAACATAGTAATTTTTTCGATCTACACCATCACCACCGTCACAATCAAGCTCTCCAAAATAAGTAGAAATTGAAGATTCCGGGCAGTCGTAATAAATCGTCAGCAGCTCGGTGTCAGGAGTGAATGGAAGGACGTTTTCGTTGAATGGCGCATTTGGTGGGTTTTGTGGACAAAGATTGCTGATATAATCCAATCTGGCAAGTCTTATGATACCAGAGACATAATTCGCTTCAAGGATTCTAAATTTCACAGAGGAAATGCTAAGCTCTGCGAATCTTCCACTACAGTCGTCGAGCTTGAAGTCAGGGTGGCCACAGTCTTCTCTACCAGATTTCCAGAAAGGATAAAAGAGCTCGCTCTGATCACCACAGCTAAATGGGCCAACACAGCGTCTGTGAAGCTCAGGCTCAGTAGCTGAGAAAACACAAATTGGGATCACAAAGAGCATCCATATGAAGATATAGGACATAGATTTTGTCAGGGAAAGAGACAAATTGATCATTTTTTTACAGGTGAAGAAAAAAGAATGGTGAAGAAGAAGAAGAAGAAGACGAAGAGATGAAGCAATTGGAAAATGTCTTGGTTTTGTAAGAGTTGAACTAAAGGAACATGTTTGGTCCTTTTTGGACCAACCTCCACTTTAATATCTATTTAATGTTTCTTTCTAGAGTTTTATATTTTTTCTAAATCGAAGTTTCTTTGGAATTAGGTGGCTTGCAACGAAGACTTTGAATGGTATTTTGGTAAACGATAATGAGATGGAATAGTGATTTAAAACGAGTTTTTATCTTCTTTTTTGTTTGTTTATAGAATATAAACAAATTCCTACCTTGGACTATACAAAGTTGGAATTTTCAATTCTTTTGGTTTTTTACTGTCCGACGACTTCATAAGTCTGGTGCTTGGAAATTTCTTAGAAAGGACTTAATGGAAAAAGAATATCATAAGGGTAGGACCCTTTTTTACATAAATTGACCAGCACAAAAACCATGTCCTAGTTTTGGTCCATTGTTTTTCAGTTTGAAAGAATTTAAAGATATTGTAGAAAAAAAATTGGAGTGTGGAATAAGGCAAATATCATTTACTATTGAAACTGACTGTGGAGGAAAAAAACAATCAATTAGTGAAAGATAGTGAGTGACTTAAATGCTAATTTGTTGGAGATAGAAGAAGATTCAAACAAGTGAAGTTTATGGTTGCTGATCCTAGGCTTATTTAAGCAGTGGGTCTTGGGCTAGTGGCATCTAGATTCTTCTAAAGATTTGTGTTGCCTATGTTCCCGGTTTGATGGAGATGTAACGGGTTTAGGCTCAGAAATGTTTTAAAAATTGCCGGCTATTAAAAGATGATGATGTAGAAGAAACTTACCATCAAGTAGTGGATGGAGTTTATTGCATCCTGATGATGAGGCTTGCTTGCAGCAAATCTGTGTTGAATTTTCGAAGCCGCAGATTCCACCAGAGGATGAACATTTTTGACAAGCTTTCTCATCAATCTTCACCTTCACTTCAAACCCTTCTTTTAAAGCCTTTTCCAAATGTGCCAAATTCAACTCTTTCTCTTCTGGAATGAAGTTGTTTGGAACGTTGATAGTGAAACTACCTTGGCAGGAATCATGATGATCAAGGTTTTGAGACACTACCACAGGGCCTCTACCAGGACATGTATAACTCGAAAGGTAAGCAAGCTTACGGTCACAGAGGTAGAAAACAGTGAGGCTCTTGTAGGTAGGTGAAATCTCAAAGATTTTGGAAGGCAAGGTTGTGGCTGTGTATGTCGCGTTGCAAAAAGAACCTTCAAGCTCTGCTCTAGCGAGTCTAAGAGTCTTAGATGTTTGATCTATATGGAAAACATTGTAAAGGTGGTCTGAGATGATTATAGAGGTCTTGTTGTTAAAGCAGTGAAGCTCCAGCGATGGATGACCGCAAATTTGGGGACGAATCCCACCGGAGAAGGGGAAACCAGCGGTTATGTTCCCACACTGAAACTTTGCTTCGCACCACCCGAGTTCTTCTTGTTTACTTGAAGCATAAGGAAGAGGGTGGAAAGAGGAGAAGAGGAAAAACAAGAACAGACAAGAAGTGGGGAGATAGTACATGATTTGTTGAGATCTAGCTATGAACAGTGTGTCTTTTGTGTTTGGTTTATGTTGAGAGAGCTAAGGAAGTGATTTAAACAAAGAAAGAGAGAGAGAGAGAGACTTGTAGAGGAGACTTGGGGTGTCAATGTCGTTATTGCTTTACTTTGGATGATTTTTTATTCTTTGTTTTCTCTTTTGTCTAAAGCTAAGATTTTAGAAGACTTCTGTTACCTATATGAGATATGGTGCACTCATTTTAAGTTGATGGGCGGTCGGTTATATCAGTCTCTTAGAAATAAAATTAAAATATCAATTTGTAACATTCTTAATCAATTAATGAAAGAGAACTAAACGTTAAATTAATGCCAAGTCCGAAGAAAAGTTTACATCATCTTCTTTCTAAGCTCACTAGGAAGCTATGTCTAAAAATGGAAATTAACAGAGGAAGATTAAAACAGATATTACTTAGAGAAATAGCTATTAGTTGTGCAATCTATGGTATTCGTAGATTGCACAACTAATAGTATGTGCAATCTACGGTTTTCGTGCCAGTTTGTGAGATGGAAAAAACTCAACCAATATCTTTTAGTTGTTTGATATCTTAGGCTTATTAAAAGTAGAACCGCTACTTCAGTATAAAAAGTTGGTAAAGAAAATGGATATCCTGAAATGATAGTGATGCTTAAGAAACTTACCATTTGGTCGATGGCGTGGAATGCATTCAAATTCATATGGAAAGGTTTCGTTGAAGCTACAGAATCCATGAGAGGATAAACATTCTTGACACGCTTTCTCATCGACCTTCACCTTCACGTCAAATCCTTTTCTTAAAACACTTTCCAAATTGCTCATATTCAACTCTTTCTCTTCTAGAACAAAGCTCTTTGGAACGTTCGTGGTGAAACTGGCAAGGCAGGACGCATGATATTCCGGGTTTCCAGAAACTGTGATCGGAGGATCTATTCCAGGACATGTATAGTTGGAAAGGTAAGGAAGATAAGGGTTGCAATGGTGGTAGAATGTGACGCTCTTGTAGGTTGACGAAATCTCGAAAATTTCTGGTGGTAAGGTTGTGTTGGTGAATGTAAAGGAGCAAAAGAAATCGAAAAGGTTTCTGGCAAGTGTAAGATTGTAAGATGTTTGATCTACATGGAGAACATAGTACACTTGGTCTGAGATGAATAAAGTGGTACTGTTGTATTGGTTGCAGCGAAGCTCTAGCAATGGATGACCGCAATGTTTGTGACGATTCCCACCCCAGAAGGGGAAACCCGCGGTGATGTTCCCACACTGAAACAGACTCTCACACTTACTTGCAGCACAAGGAAGATGGTAGAATAAGGAGAAGAGGAAGAACAAGATCAAACTAGACCTGAGGGGATAGTACATGATTTGTTTGATCTATGAACAACGTGTTTTATGGTTTTGGTTTGTGTTGAGAAGAGCAGAGGAAGTGATTTAAACAAAGAGATATAAAGAGAGAACGATAAGCATAAAGATGAGGTGGAAACGGTGAAGGGCCTGAAGACCAAGTTAGTGAGGATTGTGAACAGAAACAAAGACTAATTGGGATGTCAGTATTAGTTTACTTTGACAAGACTTTTAGTTCCTTGTTTTTTTTTTCCTATTCCCTAAGCTAAAACGAAAAAACTTCTATTTAGTACATGAATCATGATGCGTGTTTCAGGATGTTGCGGGAACGTAATAAAGACTATAGAGCATGAAAAATGTCTTAAGCAGTGGTGGACTCAGAAATCTTTTTTATTGGGGTCAAAATATAAAAAAAAAGTATGTATAATAGAAGGTAAAAATTCATAAATAGAAATTTGTGAGAAAATTTGGAGGTTCAAGTACACATTCTTAGTGGTGGGAAAAGGTAAATTTTGCTAAAATTCCCTTAAAATCAATTGAATATACACTAAATTTTCCATTTAATAATTTTAGTATATGTATAAGTTAAAATCATAGCTTACTACTACTGTAGTTGTTGGATATGTCTAAGTAAAGGGTTAAAAATAAAAGAATGATAAAGATTCAATAAATATCTCGAGTTCTTAAATAAAATGGATATGAAATGATTGTGATGCATAAGAAACTTACTAGTTAGTGGTGGTGGTCCTGGTGGATTGGGTGGACTGCATTTAGCTCCTAAAGGAAAGGTTTCGTTGAAGCCACAACTTCCATGAGAGGATAAACATTCTTGACATGATATATCATCGATCTTCACTTTTACTTCAAAACCTTTACTTAAAACACTTTCCAAATTGGTCATATTGAACTCTTTTCTTGCCACAAAACTCGTAGGAACATTCAGGGTGAAAGTGTCACCGCAGATGGTATGATACTGATCAGGGTTTTCAGACACAAAGATAAAACCTCTCATAGGACATTTATAACTCGAAACGTAATGCATCGATAAGAAGCAGTAGTAGAAAACGGTGAGGCTTTTGTAAGTTGGCGAAAGCTCGAAAAGTTCTGGAGGTAAAGTAGTGTCGGTGAATATAGAGGAGCAAAAAGAACCCAGATGGTCTGTTCTGGCAAGTGTAAGATTGTAAGATGTTTGATCGACATGGAGAACATAGAACTCTTGGTTTGAGATAAATAAAGAAGTCCTTTTGTTTTTGTTGCAACGAAGCTCTAGCAATGGATGACCGCAATGTTTTCGACGATTTCCTCCCCAAAAGGGAAAACCAGCGGTGATATTTCCACAATGAAACTGAGTCTCACATAATCGAAGTTCTTGTATACTTGAAGAACAAGTAAGAGGGTGAATTAAGGTAAAGAGGAAGAACAGAACAAGACATGAAGTGGGGGATTGGTACATGATTTGTTTGAGATATGAACAGAGTGTCTTCTGGGTTTAGTTTATGTTGAAAAGAGCAGAGGAAGTGAATGAAACAAAAAAGAGATAAGCATAAAAGATGAGGTTGATAGGTGCAGGCGACTAAGTCAAGTGCGGATAATGACAGAAGCGAAGACTTGGGATGTCAGTATTAGTTTACTTCGAAATGATTTTTGTCCTTTGTAACTTTATTTTTTCTTTTTTCTTTTCTCAAAGCTTAAAAATTGGAAAATTTTCCTTACTATTTTTAAAAGTCTCTATTTAAGGAAATTTCGAAAACATTACATGGTGCATCTAGGTGTTTTGTAAAATGTCCAATGCTTTTAGTGTCTGATCAGTTTCAAACTGCGGATTATTTTGGGAACACTGTTGGGTTTGGGTACAGAATCATGAATCAAGATGCAGTCATTTGAATTGATGGATGATATGAGACTCTTAGAAATTGTGGTACATAGTTTTATAAATTGATTTCAAACAGTTATGGGAGTAGTTAATTTTGTAGGAATATATACATATCACGAGTCTTCTGAAGCAAACATAGTTTTATGACTTTTCTTCAATACACACGAAACTATTTAACGTCGGACAAGACACGGAACCACACCACATTAAATGTACTAGTACGGAAGGAAGTATGTGGCACTTGCCGTTTCCCAAAAACTCACACCGTCAAAACGGCTCACACCTGCCGACCAATTCAGATTTGTCTCCATCAAACATATCTACTGATATTTATCGCGGTCAAATCTCACTAATGCATAAAACTCATACCACGAATTGTCGAATTCGATAACTCGGAGTACGAATCTGATTCATAAAATCTAGCATACCCTATATTTGAAAATTAGGAGATTGACAAAAACTTCTCGCAAACAAGCATTACTATCTTAGTAAGAGTTTTTCTCTTCCTTTGCCACTCTCTTTTGACGTACTTCGTGAGACATTCGAAATTTCCTTTTAGCTTCCTTTACTCTATAAAACAGATTAGACTGTGGACCGCCTTAGAATCTAGTCTAGAAGACTAGAACTTTTTTTAAAAAAATCTTTTCAAATTTTTAACTATTTTATTTTTATCAATCATATTAATGGAAAGACACGACACCAGTGTTCCATGCATTTTTTTTACCATTTGTATTTGCGCATGTTAGTTTGCTCTGAACAGAAAATGCCTTCGAAAGACCTTCCATTTCACGACCACGATAAAAGGTCTGAAAATTACAAAATTTAGCCAAGCAAAATAAATATATAATCATGATGTCATTGTTGGTCATGGATTTTCGAGATCCAATAGACGGTTAAATTTTTTTTTCAGGAGAACATCTATTGTGACATTGGTCGGTGAAGGATCATTTTTGAGTTTTGTCAAGAGGGATCCAAAGCTTAAACTGGTAAAAGTTGGACGTGTTTCTTTTTCAAAAGATGATCAAACATGTTTTCCACGTAATAGATATAAAATCTAAAGTTTCTGTGGAACATTAAATTTATCAATCGTCTTTTGAAAACAGTTTTGGTTTCCTCTCGTACACTATAGATCAAACGTTTTTAACATGTAATAGATAGCCTCTAAAGTTGTTGTGCAACATTATTTAATCAAAACGCTTTTTTGGACGTTACTGATGTCTACGTGATGTTACAATACAAAAATCTGCCTATAGGCCACGATATTTTTAGTATGAATATAAATTTTGTTAATCATTTTATGAATTATGCGTTATTCCACTTCATCTCACCAATAACCATCTTTTTTGGTCCTGATCCACTGTTACAGTACTTAGCTTCCATTGTTTTAGAACTAAGTTATTTCTATTTGCATTTAGATGTAAAAAAGAAGAACTTACAAAATAACTTGTTTGTGTTTGGCATTTATGTTTAAAAATTAGAATGAACATTTTTACTGTTTAAAATTTCGTTACAAGTTCATATAGAGAATATATACACCGAACATAAAAACAAACATTGGAATAAACGCAACAACAAAAAATTGAGACATCAACCAATCTTTCATTGCAAGTCGTATGTTTATTGACATAAATCATGCAATACATTTCCAAAGCATAAAGTAACTTTAAAAACACAAAATATATTGAAAGCCAAATTTAAAAATTCATCATCATCATCATCATATCATATCGACTTTGAGACGTCATTGAGAAGTGAGATTGAGGTCATTGACTGAGGCATGAAGCTTTCTCTCCAACACCTCACTAGAGATCTTCCCCATCAACTGGTAGAAATCCATGACCTCAGAGAGTTGCTCAACGTTCATGTTCTTCATTATGTTCATAGCCTTCCTCTGCTACTCCTCATCAAACCTAAGCTTTTCCGTAAATGACTGTAGCCACATCAAAGAAAACCAAACATGTGTCCATGGTCATTAAATCAATTTTTTTTTGGATAAGATTATCGATTCTTTTGTATCTTATTGGCTATATAATCAATTGTTTGTGTATTATTTTAACCTATATATAGTCAATTATTGAGACTTGAGAGCTTGTAACTTATATTGCCAAATATTTTAGTTTGAAGGAAAAAAAAACAGAAAATTCACTCAAGATCTTAATTGGAGAACCATGATTTGTGTGAAATATTTTGCATCAGTCAAGAATCAATATTTTTTCTATAAAATCGTATAGTATATATTTTCTCACATGGTGAATATATATGTAAAATTATATATAGCAACATGCTTCTTGTGCGAGTAAAATCAGCACAAGTTAAATGGAGAGTTAAAATATAGGAAGTTGAATCAAGAAAGTCGTTTTTTCATTAATTTCAAGAACGAAGTTCACAGAATTACAAAGAGAACTAACTAGCTTTAACAACAAGTTAGGGTTTTTCTTGAGAGTTTCATGTCTAAAGTTTTTGAGGGACGAATTGTGGATCTTCTCTTCGTTGATTGCTCGTTTCTATTTATACTTCTTTTTCTAGGTCCTCGAATATGCTTCTCTTCCATATTCTTTGAGTCAAGATCTTCCATTTTCATGTTATAAGGGCTCATTTTATGCTAAATGGGCTTCTTTATAGGGCCAAACCTGCATGGATATTTCAAGGATTCGGTTTATTTTTGGTTCGAGTCGAGTTAACCGACTGGTGCTAAATCATTCTCCTACACTTCCTATGCGCAACCGAGTATATAATATGAACTTGTTTTTCTTTAGAAAATTAGAATCCGTTCTGCAATTCTATTTATATTTAATAAGAAAATTAAGAATGTGATTTTCCAGCCACCTACAAAACGTCATTGAAGAGAGTCTTCTGAAACGATTATGTTTAAGATATTTTAAACTTAAGGTCTAGATGATAACTGTATATATTATACATAATAAGAATTTGGTTAAGTGAAAATAATTCAAGTCAACATTTATATTTTTCGGAAAAATTGAATCCACATAATTTAGAATATTATTTCCCTGGATAGCACCTTAGTGTTTGGAAGAAAAAAATAATAATAAAAAAACTAAATATTTTTTTAGAAAATTATATTAAAGTTATGTGGAATTAAATACGCCGGTAGAAAAAAAAAACCCTTAGAGACTAAGCCGTAAGAAATTAATAAGATCTTTCCAAAGTCATAATTCATATCATTTTTGAGTACATTTTTCTTTCTTATTTCATATCTTTAATTCAATTAATGTTTTTAAAAGAATTTTAGTCTTTATTAAGTTATTTATAGGTTTTAGGTTGGTTCGAGAAAAACGAGCCGTTTTGAAATGTAATCACACATTTGGCCTCAGATGGAAGATTTTTCACCATTAGCGCTTTCTTATATTTCATCACAAGAAAGATAAGGTAGTTAGCTTTCAGTTTCAAGTGATTTGAACGAAATTTAATGATGCATTCAAGAGTTATATCCGATTTGGCGATTGGCGAAGGCATGTCGTTATGGCGAGCAATTGAAGTAGTTGCAGAGTTTGGGGTCAAAGAATGAAGGACCGATCGATCTATCAAAGGGATCGATTGGTCCATGCCTTAGAAGCTTGTTTTTCATCACAAAGTGTGTAAGACTGTCCGGTTCTGTTTCAGATACGTTTTCAAGTCCAGGTTCGACATGATTCACTCCAGACCCAACTCATCTCCTATTTTTTTTTCAGTTCACTAGACACGACTTTTTATAGATATCTTTCATACTTTTAAGTCCTAAAAATTGTTCTTTGTGTGTTATTCATCTCTGAGCTAAGCAATCCATCCTCTTGACAATGGAGAAGATTTCTAATCCTTATCTTAATTTCATTGCAATACAATTATGTCTTGTTTATTGATTTGTGTTGTCCTTTTTTTTATATGTGTGAATAGTTTTCTAATTAAGTGTTAGGATTCTAAGTAGGACTATCTGTGATTCGATGATCTATTTGTTGTTTGAAATTTTCTATTCTTAAGTTATTTGATTCACATGTTTTTAATGCTAAAATTGGCTTAATCCTGTTTTAGATTATAAGTTTGATTTCTAATAAGTACGCAAAATTGGGACTGACGTTATGCCAGTGGAAGCCCAAAACCATCTGCCAAATACTGTAGGCAAGTCAATTGCGAACACTAAAAATTATATTAAATAATATATATATATATATATATATATATATATATATATATATATATATATGTCATATTCTAATTAAAATAATACTGTATTTATGATAACAATTGCTTGCTTAAAAACTTATAATATTTTAATTAAGTAATTTATAAAATAAGGTAATACTTTATAAACTATTAATATTATGTGTTGAATAACATATTAATATTCCATTATTTTTGATTTACTTCATTAGTCAATAAATCTTAAAGTCCACCATAAACTTTCATAAATCGGTCAAAGATTTATGAAATAAATAAAAATAAACTTTCAGAATATTTGTATCAAATTATATATATGCAATATCATTTGAGTTATTATCATTCACAAGCAAAACACCACATTATTATCATATTATATATACTATAAGATCATTTGAATTATCATTCACAAGTAAAACACCACAATGTTTCCGCAATTGACACTAATCTTCATTAGTCAATAACATATTCATATTCCAATATAAATATTAATATTATATGTTGAATAACATATTCATATTCCAATATTTCATTTACTTCATTGGTCAATTAGTCTTCAATTCCACCAAAAATATAATTTTCATAAATTGGTCAAAGATTTATAAAATAAAATCAAAAATATTATGGAAATAAATTACTTTCAGAGAAATTTATCACATTATATATAGTGCAAATCTCTTTTGAGTTATTATCATTCACAAGCAAAACACCACATTATTATCATATTATAAGATCATTTGAATTATTATTCACAAGTAAAACACCACAATGTTTCCGCAGTTGACACTAATCTTTCTTTTCTCTCTTGTTGTAATCCACCCCCTTCATGTCTCAGCCAAGACATGGTGTGTGGCAAATACATCCGCAGCTCCTACACAACTACAAGCTAATATTGATTATGCATGTAGCGAAGGAAAAGTTGACTGTGCAAAAATCAATCCTGGTGGAGTTTGCTTTGATCCAGACACTGTTCTTAGCCATGCATCATTTGTGATGAATGATTTCTACCAGAATCATGGTAGCACTGAAGAGTCGTGTAATTTTAGTGGTACTGGTCAAATCGTTACTGTTGATCCAAGTTATGGTAGTTGTGTGTATACATAGAATACATGGTTTGATGAATGATTTTGTGATTGCAAAGTTTTCTTAGGAAGAATACAATTATGCCGAATAAAAAGTAGTTTTAAACATTATGTAAGGTTAAGAAAAAGTAATGTTATTTTTCATTCAGTTTTAGTCATATGAAGTGTTTTTATCTGGATAAATTTGGCATTATATTCAATATTTCATGTGATTCTCTCATACAACTATGTCCTTACTATTTTATTGCAAACATCATCATTTAGTCAATTTATTAATAAAATTATCCTAAAAATACTTTTTTTGGTAGGAAAAAAAAAATACTAACCTAAGCTCTCAATTTCTTTAGGTTTGGTCAAACAATCTCATTTTCTAATTCCAAAAAATAAAATTCAATATCTCAGAAAATACACTATTTTATGGAACAATAACTAAATTTCCAAAATCAAATAATATTTATATGTTATAAATTAAAGGTAATACAAATATGAAAAGAAAATATTATTTATAATATAACACACTAGTATGTTTATAAACTATTACTCTATTTGTTTCTTATTAATCCAATTTCTAAAAAGAAAAAAATTTCGCTCAAAAAGATATATTTTTAAAATTTTCTATGCAATTTTATCAGTTATTGATTATGAATTGTAAACTTCAACCAAAATAATTTATTATTATTAGTTTAGAGTTAAAGAAAATTGGTAATAAAAACAATAATGCATTTATAATCAGTATTTAATGTGTGAAAAGTTAAGAAAAATTGGATTAGTAAGGAACATATGGAGTATATCCGAGTAACTTAATAAACTCAATCTAATATTAAGTAAACACCTTTTGTAGGTTGTTTCTTTGTTTTGCACGAACCTTTTGTCGATTTTTTATTTTTAATATTAAAGGCGATTTTTAAAATTTATATTTTGACCTTGGTAAAATAAAATCATGGGTCTGCCACTGATTTTGTTAATCATTTTATGAATCATGCTTTATTCCACTTCATCACATCAATAGCCATCTTCTTTGGTCCTGAGTTACACTTAGCTTCCATTGTTTCAAAACTAAGTTTACATTTCTATTTGTATTTAGATGTAAAAAAGAGGGACTTGCAAAATAATTCGTTTGTGTTTGGCATTTATGTTTAAACATTAGAATCAACACATTTTTATTGTTTAATTTTTTTTTTTTTTGAATGTTTAATTAATTGATCAAAGAATAAACCTTATATACAAAGAGTGGCTAAATGAGGAAACGAAAACAAGAACAAAACAGAGCCAGCGATGACTATTACAAGAGCAAATAGAGGATATTATGTGATTGGTGATACATCAAACCAAACATAAAAACAAACATTAAAATAAAACGTAACAAAAAAAATTGGGACATCAACCAATCTCTTATGGCAAGTCGTATGCTTATTGACATAAATCATGCAATACATTTCCAAAGCACAAAGTAACTTTAAACACACACAAAAATTTGAAAAGCCAAATTTAAACATTCATCATCATATCGATTGTGAGACGTCATTGAGAAGTGAGATTGAGGTCATTGACTGAGGCATGAAGCTTTCTCTCCAACACCTCACTAGAGATCTTCCCCATCAAGTGGTAGAAAGCCATGAGCTCAGAGAGTCGCTCAACGTTCATGTTCTTCATTATGTTCATTGCCTTCCTCTGCTTCTCTTCATCAAGCCTAAGTTTTTGCGTAAATGATCCACCGTTCCTCATCGTCGCTCCCATCTCCTTTAGCCTCATCTCTTGCTGTACACTTAGAGCGGTATTTGACTGCAGCCACATAAAAAAGAAACCAAAAATGTGTGGTTATTAAGCCGAACTTATATTGAGTTTGGAAGTCATCATAATTCATTATTATGTTAATCAAACCAAATAGTAATAACATCATTCTTATGCCGGAAAATGGAACAGACTAAACATAGTTCTATCGAACCGTATAAATTAAAAAAAATTATAATAAGTTCATAATTTTAATTAAAACCGTTTATGCAAAATATACTCTATAAATTAATTATAATAATAATTATAGTTTATTTCTGTCTTTCATTTTTTTTCTAATCCGAAGCTAAAACAGCCAAAAAATAAACATATTATTGAAGTATATTTAGTTAACCGGATTTTGTTAATACCGGTTTAGATTAATCACTTGTATATAAACAAGTTTATGTACATTGTTTTCATTTAATGAGAAATCCACATTATTTCTGATCTACTTTAATATGGTATCAGAGACTAACAGAATCTTCTTCCGCCATTGATTTCTCATTCCTTCGCCATTGTCATCTTCTTCATTTCTTCATCTTGAGCTCAATCTAAGCTCGTTTTTCTTTAGCCATGAGTGCTTCGATCACTCCTATGGTTTCCGATTTCGATTTCTTTTTTGTTTATCGCTGTGTTTGATCTTCTTCCATACGAATCTTTCACTTTCTTGTTTCAACATTTTTTTTTTTTGACCTCCATTGTTGCTGGTTCTCTTCGATAACTCAATCCCAGCACAATCCATCGTTGATTCTCTTTTTCAACATTTGAAATGGGAACAATTCCGCCAAATCACACAGCGATACCAGATACTCGTCGTCAATACACGGATCTATATGAGAATCCGTTCTATCTACATTCAACGGACCACGCAGGGTTGGTTCTTGTATCCGATCGGCTTAATTCTGGATCAGAATTTCATTCATGGCGTCGCTCTATTCGTATGGCGCTTAATGTCAGAAATAAGCTCGGATTCATTGATGGTAGTATTACTCAACCTCCTCTTAATCATCCTGATGCTGGATCTTGGTCTAGGTGTAATGATATGGTAGCAACTTGGCTAATGAACTCTGTTTCTAAAAAGATAGGCCAAAGCTTGTTATTCATGTCTACTGCTGAAGCGATTTGGAAAAATTTGATGTCACGTTTTAAGCAGGATGATGCACCTAGAGTCTTTGAAATTGAGCAGCGTTTAGGCTCAATCCAGCAAGGTTCAATGGATGTGAGTACCTATTATACTGAGTTAGTAACTCTGTGGGAGGAATACAAGAATTATGTTGAATTGCCTTTATGTACTTGTGGTAAATGCGATTGTAATGCTGCAAGTTTATGGGAAAAGCTACAACAACGCAGTCGTGTTACCAAGTTTCTGATGGGACTCAATGAAGTGTATGAGCCTACTCGGAGACATATTTTGATGTTGAAACCAATTCCTTCTATAGAAGATGTTTTCAACATGGTTACACAAGATGAGAGGCAGAAGTGTATTAAGCCATCTACTAAGTTGGAGAATGTGGCATTTCAGAGTTCAATAGATACTAATGCTGGATATTATAATGGTCAGTCTGAGAATGTGAATGCTGGATATTACTCTGGTCCTGTTGAGAATGTTGCTTATGCTGCTTTCAGGCCACAACATAGACCTCCTATATGCACTCATTGTGGCCGAACAGGTCATACTATACAAAAGTGCTACAAGGTTCATGGTTACCCTCCTGGTCATAGGTTGGCTCAAAGACCTCCTCAACAGCAGTCTTTTGTTCAGCAATCTTTTGTTCCTCGTGGTCAATTTAACAATGGATCAAGACCACCATTTCCTCAACAGAATCATTTCCAGCAGTCTCAATATCCCAAGAATGGTGCAGTGGCAAATGCAGTAACAAGTTCTACTCCTAGTTCTGCTCTTTATATGCCCTCACCTGCTACAACTGCAACAAGCCTTGATCTTGGCAGTTTCACTCCTGACCAAATCCAGTCTTTGATTCATCAACTCAACACTCAGGCTCGAGTTCAAGAGCAGCCGTCTCCTTACCCTACAGCTACGATAACTGAGCATGGTGCCATGGCCACCACTTCTACCTCTGGTAATGTTTCAATTGAGTTTCCTTCTTCAAGTCTTAGATATGAAAACCATATTTTCACCTTTCAACATCAGTGCTTATCTACTCTTTACTCAATTTTACCTAATGGTGCTTGGATAATTGACAGTGGAGCAACTAGCCATGTATGCTCTGACCTGTCTATGTTTAGTGAAACTTTCCCTGTGACAGGTGTAACAGTCTCTCTCCCAAATGGCACTAGGGTACCAATTACACACACGGGCACAGTGCATATCTCACAAGCATTAATTTTGCATGATGTTCTATATGTTTCTACTTTTAAATTCAATTTACTGAGTGTCAGTTCTTTGTTAAAACATCAAAATTGTTCTGCTCATTTCTATATTGACTCATGTTATCTTCAGGACCATACTCGGGACTTGATGATTGGTAAAGGAATTCTTATGCATAGTCTATACATCTTGGAGACTGCTATCATTTCTTCTACCGTCAATGCATCAGCTAGTTTCTGTGGATCCTTGCAAGTGGATGGACATCTCTGGCATCAACGCCTTGGACATCCATCCTCTATCAAGTTACAACATATGTCTGGTATTTTACCTATGTTTTCTAGTAGTTCTTCTCATAGTCATTGTGAAGTTTGTCCTTTAGCAAAACAGAGAAAATTGCCTTTTGTCTCTAGAAATAATATGTCTGAGTCACCATTTGATTTAATTCATCTAGATATATGGGGTCCTTTTTCAATTGAATCTGTAGAAGGCTATAAATACTTTCTTACTATTGTTGATGATTGTACTAGAGTCACATGGATTTACATGTTAAGAAATAAAAATGATGTTCTTCAGATTTTTCCAGATTTTTTAAAGCATATTAAAACTCAATATCAGTCTGTTGTTAAAGCTATTCGTAGTGATAATGCACCTGAACTTTCATTTACTCAACTTGTTAAAGATCATGGCATGATTCATCACTTTTCATGTCCTTATACCCCGCAACAAAACTCTGTTGTTGAGAGAAAACATCAACACTTGTTGAATGTATCTCGGGCTTTACTTTTTCAATCTAATCTTCCTTTGGTCTATTGGAGTGATTGTGTGCATACTGCTGTGTTTTTGATAAATAGAACTCCTTCTTTGGTTTTAGGAAAAATTTCACCATATGAAAAATTGTTTAAGAAGCTTCCGGATTACAATTTCTTAAGATCTTTTGGCTGTTTGTGTTATGTTTCTACTCTTACTAAAGATAGAACAAAATTTTCACCAAGGGCTGAAGCATGTGTATTTCTTGGTTATCCACCAGGTGTTAAAGGTTACAAAGTTCTAAATCTTCAAACTAATGCAGTCTCAGTCACTAGGAATGTTATTTTTCATGAAAATATATTTCCTTTTAAAAATGTTTCACCTAATTCACCTACTGATGATATATTCTCTACTACAATTTTACCTGCTTCAGTACCTGTTGCTATTGATTTAGTTGATGATATTGATTTAGTTGATGATATTCCTGAGCATATTCCTGCTGCATCATCTCCGATTATTCAGCATGATCCATCTGCATCACGCTCTAGTGTCACCATTACACCAATAGAGACTGTTGCAGCTGACTCAGGACAAGTCTCTCTACCCGTAGCCAGGCCAAAGAGACAAGCTAAAGCTCCAGGTTACTTATCTGAATACCATTGCAATCTCTTACAAATTTCTACTCCTGCTTCTTTTCTTTTAAATCCTTTTACTTTTTCAACTCCTATTCTTTTAAACTCTCACAAAAATTCTACTACACAAAATTCCACTTCTGATTTTTTAGCACTTTCTACTATCTCTGACCCTATTCCAACTCCATCACCAAATAAAAACACTCCATTATATCCCCTTTCTTCAGTTCTTACCTACACCAAATTAAAACCAGAATATCAAGCCTATATCCTTTCTTGCTCAATTGAATCAGAACCACAAAACTTCCATCAGGCTATGGCACATCCTCATTTTCCCAAGGCTATGGATGTGGAAATATCTGCTCTTGAACAAAATGGTACTTGGAGTGTTGAATCTTTACCTCCAGGGAAAACAGTGATTGGATGTAAATGGGTATATACCATAAAATACAACCCAGATGGATCTATAGAACGCTATAAAGCTCGCTTGGTAGCTAAAGGTTATACTCAGCAAGAAGGTATTGATTATATTGATACCTTTTCTCCTGTGGCCAAGCTTGCTAGTGTTAAACTTGTGTTAGGTTTGGCTTCTGTTCATGGCTGGACTCTGACACAAATGGATGTTACAAATGCGTTTTTACATGGTGTATTGGATGAAGAGATCTTCATGAGCTTGCCACAAGGTTATACTCCTCCTAATGGTACTGCATCTCTTCCTCCTAATCCAGTTTGTCGCTTACATAAGTCATTGTATGGCTTGAAACAAGCCTCACGACAATGGTACCACTGCTTCTCAACGATAGTATTAAAGGCTGGTTTTGAACAGTCTCCAGGCGACAATACTCTGTTTGTAAAATGCACCGGCTCCTCATTCACTGCACTATTAGTATATGTTGATGATATACTAATAGCCTCTAATAGTGACAGTGATTTACAGGCCCTTAAGAATGCTCTACATGCGGCTTTCAAGATTAAAGATATGGGGCCTCCAAAGTTTTTTTTAGGATTGGAGATTGCTCGAAATGATACAGGCATATCTATTTGTCAGAGGAAATATGCATTAGACATTCTCGCTTCTACTGGTATGTTAGCCTGTCAGCCTGCTCGTGTTCCTATGGATCCTACAATTCCTTTGACTAAAGAGACAGGGACATTATTGGAGAATGGTACTGCATATAGAGAGCTTGTGGGAAGACTTCTCTATTTGACAATCACAAGGCCTGACATCACATTTGCGGTACATAAGTTGAGCCAATTCTTGTCTTGTCCAACAGATATACATTTCCAAGCAGCTCACAGGGTACTGCGTTATCTCAAAGGTAATCCTGGTCAAGGGTTGTTCTATGCTGCAGATTCTGATCTCTGTCTTAATGCTTTTGCTGATGCGGATTGGGGAACCTGTCAAGATACAAGACGATCAGTTACTGGCTTCTGTGTTTATCTTGGTAAATCATTGATCAGTTGGAAGTCTAAGAAACAACAGACTGTGAGCCGGAGTAGTACTGAAGCAGAGTATCGGAGTATGGCTCTTGCTACATGTGAGCTTCTTTGGCTAAATCAGCTTCTTAAAGACTTGAAGGTAACTGTTCAGAGTTCTGCAAAACTTTTTTGTGACAACAAATCGGCTATACACATTGCTACAAATCCAGTGTTTCATGAACGCACAAAGCACATAGAGATTGATTGTCACACCACAAGAGATCAGGTGAAGAATGGATTTCTGAAGTTGTTTCATGTTACAACTGAGAACCAACATGCAGATATATTGACAAAAGCTCTTCATCCTGGTCCTTTTCACTCACTACTTCAGAGAATGTCAATCTCAAACCTCTTTTCACCTCATCACAGTTCTGTTTAAGAGGTTTGAGGGGGGCGTATTGAAGTATATTTAGTTAACCGGATTTTGTTAATACCGGTTTAGATTAATCACTTGTATATAAACAAGTTTATGTACATTGTTTTCATTTAATGAGAAATCCACATTATTTCTGATCTACTTTAATACATATCAAACTGAAAAATCAAATTTCCACCCTAAAATTATTAATTTCAAAAAAAGAAGAAAAAAAAAGAAGTTATTAACCTTTGCCGACAAAAAAAAAAAAAAGTTATTATTATTAACGATTCAATATACGAAAGGTCAAAATATGACTCCTAGCTTTTTTGGCCTTTGCAATAATAGTATGGATCAAGATCATGTTTAATGCACATAAAACAGTTTGGTGTTATGTACCTCAAGAAACTCAGCTCCAACGTCAAGTTCTGATTCTCTGGATTGGTTATCCAACGAATATGATCTAGTGTACATAGACCTCGCAAGCGAGAAGCTCCTGACAAGTATCTTTCTTTTTTTCTCCATTTCTGGATTGAGTTCTAATTTCTTAGGAACAGACAATGAACTATTAAGCTTCTTTTGACATGCAATCACTGCTTTTGCAAATTCCTAAGACAAAGTATAGTTTAGAGGTATGTGTTAGTGTTGTTGATCTGTCACCATCCATGTTTAAACTCGCATAATGCATGTTATTAAAAAGAAAGAACTCAATCACAAACCTGATAAGCAACAGGACAACCAGGGAAATCAAATTCATCGCTACCATTCTTTCTCATTCTCTCTGGATGAAACTGTAAACCCATTAGGAATTTTCCCTCTTCAGGATTGTACATATCAGGATCATAAAACCCTTCGATCAATCCATCAGGAGCAAAAGCCATTGGCACAAATCTTTGTGCCAATCTCTTAACCCCTTGGTGGTGATAACTATTGACCAAGATCTCCATCTTTTCTTCATCTAAAGAATCTTTGAACCATTTATGCAAAGGGCTGTTTTTTACAATCTTCACCTCATGTCTATAACCATCATAGTCATCATAATCTATATGATTTCTTCTATGTTCCTCAGGAACATTGATTGTGACCTCTTTCTCCAAGTCTTGATAAAGACTTCCACCACAAGCAACATTCAAAACCTACAAGTTTCATTAACACCGTTACTCAACCACTTGGTTTTCCATTTAAGAACTCAACCACTTAGTTAAAGCCAAAGATTGAGTCCTACCCATTGTGACTCTATTTGGCCATTATAGATTCTTTATGTGGCCAAAAAAGTTTTTCTTAAATCAAATTTTAAACTATGTTCTCTTAATCTCTTTTCAACGGAGGGCTAGAATTAATACAAGGATACTTTACCTGTGATCCTCTACAAATTCCTAAGTAAGGAATGTTCTGTTCTAGGCAGAGCTTTGCGAGGGCAAACTCAATAGAGTCTTTTTCTTTGTCGATAGCTGTATCACTTGCATGTGTTTTCCGAATCTCGTCGAGTTCTTGAGGTGAAAGGGATGATATTTCAGACTCGTATAGAGAAGGGTCTATGTCTTCTCCTTCACAGAGAAGAACTCCATGGATAGGCTTGAAGCTCTCTAGCAACTTGTGAACACCAGCCACTCGTGGTACAATCACCGGTACAGCACCGTTCTCGACTATAAGATCAAGATGGTACTCACCTAAAGAAAAACAATCCAACATAATTAAATCTATGAAAATCAAGGGGAAAATGTAAGAACAAAAATATAACATTTTAAGGATCTTTCAAAATGATTATTACCAACGAAATCGACGAATTTGTTCTTGCGAAGAGTGCGTCTAGAGACGACAAGGACACGAGGGAGGATTTGAGAGAGATCATTCACGCTAGGATTTCCCATCTTCTATGTTGTGTAGGAACTAAGACACAAGATATTGTGTGGGTTTTGAGTTGTGAGTGGGAGAGAAAACTGAAGGTAAATTTATAGCGGAGGAGGAGGGTACAGTTAACTATTTATGTTGATGTTGATTGAATGATTATGAAAACACTCTTGTTTGTATTGAACTTTTCTCACGTTTATTTCAAGGTCAAGATAGAAAACATACAATTGCTTTAAAAAAATTCATATACCTTTAAATTAACATTTTCAAGGCATTTTCAAAGGTATCCAATGATGAGGGTTGGGTCATTGACTCATTAGGGGACTAAGATTATTGATTCTTTTCTTTTTGGATAAGATTAACGACTCTTTTGCATCTTGTTGGCTGAGTTAAATTAATAAAATCTTGCTTCCTGCGCTGAGTTAAATTAATGTTATAATATATATTTTCTCACATGGTGAATATGTATGTAAAATTATATATAGCAACATGCTTCCTATGCGCTGCTGAGAATATAATACGATCTTGCTTTCCGAATGGTGGATTAATTAAATAGAAAATTTGTAATAATTAGTGGTTTTAGGAAAGTTGATCAACTCCATAATATAAAAGGTTATTTCTACTTTTAGACAATAGAAAACGTTAACAATTTTTATATAGTCTAGCGAACAAGAGTGAATTTCAACATTTTTGATAGTTACATAACGGATGACTTTTCAATAAGGATGTAATTTTTCAATTTGGGTTTTGTGAAAAAAAAAACCATCCTACTTGCCAATTTTTGCAGATTTATCTTGTATCTCCAAAAAATGCAAATTAATCGTACGAAGTCAAAAATAATACGCAATATAATTTTTTTTTGTTAAGAATCCAATGCATGTTACCGTGAAAACGTTTTTAATATACGTATAAAGGCTATATTTCATATTATTTCCGATTTCGTATGATTAATCTGCATTTTATGGAGGTAAAAGGTAAAATTGTAAAAATTGGCGAGTTTGAGGTTTTTTTGCACAAAACCCTTTCTACTTTAATATCTAATTTATCAAATAAAACCTTTTTATAAGGGTTTACTCCTACAATTTCAGTTATTCAGTATCATAAAACGTGCAAGTATCAATAGCTCAACTTGTAAAGATTTTCAGGCAAAAGCTAGAGGTAGCCGGTTCGAGTATTATTTTGGACGAAATCATATAAAATATTCTGATCCCTGATCTGAAGGGATGTATGAACTTATGTACATGATCTCTTAGTTATTCAAAAAGCTTTAGTGTGGATTTTGAGTTGAGAGAAGGAGAGAAAACTGAAGGTAAATTTAATAGCAAAGGAGGGAACAATTACAGTTAACTATTTCTGTTGATGTTGATTGAATGATTATGAAAACACTCTTGTTGTATTAAACTTTTCTCACGTTTATTTCAAGGTCAAGATAAAAAAATACAATTGTTTAAAATTTCTTATACCTTTAAATAAGATTAGATAAAGAACTCGCGCTCTGCCGCGGGGTATTTTTTTGTAAGTTAGCTTTATTTTAATATAATTACAAGTATGATTGGTAGAAGTTTGAAATGATTTAGATATTTTACCTTTACTTAAATTTTAGTATTTTATTATTTTTATTATGTATGCATACATTAATAAATACATGTTATATATTACTTTTATAAAATAAATATACCGTATAGTCAATTTTGTATTTGTTTTTTTTGTTTTGTTTTATTTTTATAATGTGTATAACGTTTTACAAATATCTGATTTCTTTTTATATGTATATAGTTTTCAAGACTAATATATTTCAAGAACGTTACTTTCTTTTTATTAAATATATACATGGTGCACAACCATAATTTGAATAACACTTAAAATATTTAACATAGACTTTCAATGATTTGTTAAAATGATAACTTATAATTTATTTTAATTATACCATAATTTTAATATAAAATTATTATTCCAATTATGTTACTGGATTTTGTAAAAATTTTACTCATTTTCGTAACTGAGGGAGCTGATGTGGCATGCTGGAGAGATGAGTTGTATTAATTGTTATATTTTGATTGGGTATCATTTTTAATGATGTGTCAGTCTCACAATAGCTTAAAAAGCTGATGTGTCATTGCTGGAGAGACTCTTAGTAGTTTTATTGTATTGATTCTCAAGACATTTTAAAGGTATCCAATTGATGAGGGTTGGGTCATTGAGTCATTAATAGGGGACTAAGATTATTGATTCTTTTCTTTTTGGATAAAATTATCGATTCTTTTGTATATTGTTGACTATATAATCAATTGTTGGGAAATTTGGATCTATAACCAAAAAAAATTTAATAATTAAGGAATTAACCTAAAAAAAAAACTGCTGTGATATTCTCTGTATATTCTATATTAAGACCATTCTACCCCTCTATTCATTGTACGCCTCTCACCTCTCACCTCTCACCTCTAACCTCTTTGTCTACATCAACTTAACTCACAGAGATCTAGAAAAGATGAACAACAAAATAATCCTTTTTTTAATTAGATAGGCTGAGCAAACCGAAGGAGCAACTCCAATCACATACACCAATCGCTTCTCCGATCATGTTTCGACCCGACCAACTTCATTCTCTCTCCCGTCTTGCGCATACACAAAGTAAGGATAGAGTGGACATTTCCCAGCCCACATGCGTTAGTTTCTTAATTTCTAGATTTATAGTGCTATTTTCTTAATTCATTTTTGGAAATCGGTTAGTTCTGCAATTCACCCTCAATTGTTTGTCTTTTTGTTTTTTTTTTCTACCCATATATAGTCAATTGTTGAGACTTAAGAGCTTCCAACTTCTAACGCCAAGAAAGGGATGTATATTACATAAATTTAGAAAAGAGTACTTCAGTTCAAGAAAAAAAAACAGATGACTCACTGAAGATGTTGGTAGAAGAATCATAATTTGTTAGAAATATTTTGCATCGGTCAAGAATCAGTGAATTTAATAAGATTTTGCTTCCTAGCTACGCTGAGTTAAATTAATGTTATAATATATATTTTCTCCCATGGTGAATATGTAAAATTATATATAGCAATATGCTTCCTATGCGCCTAGTATATAATACGATCTTGCTTTCCGAATGGTGGATAAATTAAATAAAAATTTTGTAACAATTAGTGGTTTTAGGAAAGTTGATCAACCATATCATATAAAAGGTTATTTGTACTTTTTGACAGTGAAAACGTAATATTCAAGAATATAAGAAATTTTTATATAGTCTAGAGAACAATAGTGAATTTCAACCTTTTTGATAGTTACATAACGGATGACTTTTCGATAAAAATGTAATTTTTCTACTTCGATATCTAATTTATCAAATAAAACCTTTCTGATTATATGGGTTTATTCTTATAATTTCAGTATCACAAAAACGTGCAATTTCTTTTTGGTACCACCTTCTTATGTGACATCTCGTTTGGCGATACTCTTTATGTAAACATCTCGATCTGAATCATACTATTTCAGTATAATTTCAGTGTCATACTAATTCAGTATAATTTGAGTATCGAAACTTGTAAGATTTTTTATAATTTTAAGAATGTGATTTTCTTCCTATGATTGTTGGGATGATAAGTAAAGACGTAACACTTCCTTCAGCCACCTAAGAAACATCTTCGCAGAGAGTAGTCTTCTGGAACTATATTTTTTATGGTATAGTTATTTAAGATATTCTATATCTGTTAAACTTAAGGTCTAGATAAATAATAAGAATTGAGCTAAGTTGGTAGAGTAAAAATAATTCAATTCATTTGGATGAAACATTTATATTTTGCAAAAAAATTGAATCGACATAATTTAGAAAATTATTTCTCTAGATAGCACCTTAGTGTTAAGAAGAAAAAAAACTAAATGTTATTTTTTTTGTTCATCTAGAAGGTTATATTAAAATGAGGTGGAATTACATAAGCTGGTAAAAAAAGAAAAGACATTCTCAGAGACTAAGCCATATAAGAAAATAAGATATTTCCAGAGACATAAACCCAATCGAAAAAGAACAAAAACTTTTAACAAACTAAAAACAGAAACTAATAATCTAACTAAAAGATTTAGAACTTATACTTTTCACCAAAAAATCTGAAAATGGATTTTTGTCTAATATCCTTAGAAAATCTCATAACAGCGGAGAAGAAAATTCGGTTTTCTTACCTCTTCTGGTGATAAACGAAGACTTTGGATATAAAAATCTTGAGCATCCAATGGTCGACATGACAATGAAACCTTTGTATAGGACTATCAGACAAAGATGTCATGATGATGTCGAGCTAAGTGATTTTGATCTGGTAGGAGGAGCCTGAAACTTAACAGATCTCGCCCTGATTTGAGTGGATGAAACCTAAAATTAAGCCGTGTAAAACTGGCTCAAAACCCAAAATTTAGTGGATAATTTAAGGTTGACATGCAAAAATCTATTAGGAATGAGAGAAGAAAAAACTTTAAAAATCAATTGTCCCAAAACTTTAGATCCATACTGAATAAAATCCGAAGATCTAGACATACCATACAAGCATCTAATTAGCAAACACCAGCAGAGAAACACAACTCAAAGACTAGCAACACCACAATATATACACCGACATCAAATCAAATTAAAATGCCATATTGATGTATCATATTTTTATTGGTTTTGAGATTTGTTTTATTTTTTTATTTCATATATTTTGTTCAGTCAAAGTGTTATTAGAGACTTTTAGTCCTTTCTCGAGTTCCTATAAGTTTTAGGTTGGTTCAGAGGAAAACAACCCATTTTGGTATGTAAACACACATTAGGAGATGCATGATCATGTTGAAGCATCAGAAGTTTTGCCTCAGATGGAGGATTTCGATTTTCAACCATTAGCACTTTTGTATTTCGTCACAAAATAGATAAGGATGTTAGCTTTCATTTTCAAGGGATTTGAACAAAATTTAATGGTGCATTCAAGAGATGTCCGATTTAGCAGTTTCAGAGTTTGGGCTTAGAGTATATTTTAAGTCTAGGTTCGACCCGATTCACTCCAGATCTGACCTAACTCGTTACTCTCTTTCATACTTTTAAGTCCTAAAAGTTG